TTTCTAGCTTTTTAAAGAATACTCTAAGAATTAAGCCTCTAGTAAGAGTTACCTTTAGACGCGTTTTCTTAAGCTCTCTTTTTTATAAAAAGTACTTTTATATAATAGGCTATATCGCGTTTCTACGCCTCTTTAAAGTACTTAAGAAAAAGTTCTAGATTATTATAATTAAATATATAAGTATCTTATAGAGCTACTACTATAAGTTTTTATAACGTATAGGTTAAGTAAGTAACGTAGTTCTAAAGAAAAATACTTATAACGTTAAAACTTTTTAGTTATACTCTAGACTTAATATCTCTAATAGGTTCTTCTATAGATAAAGAGAAGTAAGTTAAGTAATATAGTATACTACTTATAACCTAAAGAATAGTTCTAGAAGAACTTAATATAGCTTTATTTACGCTACTTATAGAAAGTTAATAAGCTCTTAGTAGATTCTTATTACGTAGTACTAGATTACACGCTATTTAACTACTAGCGTGTAAAGCTATAAACTTCTAAAGAGTCTACACCTAGAGTTTATTCTAGAGCGTAGAAAGTATAATATTATAAAGTAATTTTACCTTTTCTATCTAAAAGCTATTAGCGTAATTAGGTCTCTATAATAGTATGTCTACTAGATTTAACGCACCTAGTTTATACTTAATTTTAAAATTAAATTAAGCTAGCTTTTCTACCTAGTAAGCTTACTTAGACGTAAGCTTCTTTATTATTATAAAGTACTTTAGATTATTATAGTTAGTAAGTACCTAAATTATATCTAGAGAGTACTTAAAATAATATTACTACTTCTTAAAGCTTTCTACTATAGCGTATAGCTTCTTATTATAAGTATACTAGTAAATTTATAGACTAATAAACTTATAACTCTAGAAAGTAATAAGCTTCTAGTATTATTCTATAACCTTTCTAGAGCTCTATAGCTATAATAGAATTATAGCTATTATAAATTTAGAGACGTTATTTAGAACTATTACTAGCTTTATAGAGTTAAAGTACTAGAGAATAGAAGCCTTTATAAAAAGCTTCTATAGGTAAAGAAAAGTGTTATATATACTATTAGGCTAACTCTATTTCTTATACTATCTAGTTAAACCTTTTTTATTCTTCTTAGACTTTAACTTCTAAGTAGTCTTATTAGTATCTAGTTAGTTCTAAGATAGAGACTAGGTAGAAACTATATACTCTAGAAGTAGACGTACTATTTCTAAGTAGTTATAAATAAACTATTAGTAAAAGTTTATAAAGCTAAGAAAGACTTAAATATTATAGTAGCTCTTAGATTCTAGCTATTTCTTAATTATCTAGACCTAAATTAGATTTATAATAACGCCTATAGGTATTATAATAAAGCTAAGAAATTCTACTAACTTTATAAAGAAATTATACTTTAACGCCTTAGCGTATAAACTCTAATTATATAGTCTTTTAAGAACTTTATATACGTAGTATTTATAATTCTTTTTATTCTCTAAATATATAAGAATATTATCTAAATAGATAATATAGGTTTAATTTAATAGGCCTTCTAGAGCTCTATAGATATAGAACTAGAAGATAGCTAGCGCGTTAGCTAAGCTAAAGAGTATAATAAGGTATTTAAAGTACCTATAATAAGTTTTAAACGTAGTCTTCTACTTATCTCTCTTCTTAATATAGAGCCTATAATAGGCGTTACGTAAGTCTAATTTTATAAAGACCTTAGCTCTTAAAAGTTAGTCTAGTATCTTACTAACTAGTAGAATAGAGTACTAGTTTTTAACTATAACTTTATTAAGGTCTTTATAGTTAACGTAGAGTTATAGTATACTATTAGTCTTTAGTATAAAAAGTATTAGTATACTTACTAGAGATTTACTATACTAGATCTATTCTTTCTCTAAGGCGTTATTAAGGTATTTCTATAGAATTTCTAACTTACGTCTAAATAAGTTATAGATTAGAAGGTTTAGTAGTAATTTACTATTCTCTAGTTTAATAGCGTAATTCTACCTAACACGTAGAAGTTAAAGACTCTTGGTTAATTCTAAAGGTATTCTAGAATAAGTATCTTATTATCTAATAGAATATTCTTCTTACTAGAGTAGCTCTAGGCTACTAGTAGATTACTATTAGAGCTATTATAGTACTTTTACGTAGAAGTTTACGCCTAGCGTAGAGATTTATCTCTAATTATTATAATAACTCTAGATACTATAGCTTAGAGAAGAAACCTAAGCTCTAGATAATCTCTAATATAGTAGTTTAGGTACTTAAGTAGCTTTTACTACTACTAGTAGAGCTATAAGAGTCTATATAAACGCTAGTATTTCTTATTATAAGGCTTGTCTTCTCTAGCTACCTATATCTATAGAGTTAACCTATTAGCGTACTATTAGGTTAGTAACGTATTACTAGTAAGAAGAAGGTTTTTCTTCTTATAGATAAGTCTTCTAACTCTAAAGTCTTAAAGGTAGAGTACGTATACTTTCTTCTCTAGATTAAGGTTCTTAACAAGAGTATCTATATTATAAATCTTAAGATATTTATCTATAGTATTTAGATTCTACTATTTAAAAGTTCTATTCTTAAACTAGATCTTTAAGTTAGCTTCTACTAGCTATAAGTAGTCTAAGACAAGGTTATAACCTATAAAATTAGCTATCTAGAAAGGCTACAGGCCTATTACTCTTAAGTTACTATAACTTTTAGCGTAAGTAACTATAAGGTTATAAGAGAATACTAGCTATAGCTAATTATTATTAAGAAACTATACTTATAGCTTTCTTTAACTAGCTTTAATAAGCTATAGCTCTCTAGTAGTATTTAATTAAATAAGGTTAATCTCTATACTACTATTATATAGCGCTTAGAGAGTTACTAGGTTACTATTAGGTTCTAAAAGTTAAATAGTAATAGTAATCTAGAGACGTTTACTACTTATATAGTAACCTAATAGTAGAGTAGTAAGGTCTACTATTAGAGGTTTTTATTTTCTAACTAACTAGTTTTATAATTATCTTTACTATAACTTTTCTAGTAGCTCTTTTTTCTTATATTAAATTCTATACAAGAAGAGAGCGCAACACTCTTAAATTAAGAGAGAGTTAATAACTAGAAAGATTATTACTTAGAAGTACGTTACCTAGATAGCTTTTAGTTCTATTTCTTAAACTTACTATTCTAAATAGACGAAGAGAATACTATCTATTTTTCTAAACTACTTAGCTCTTAGATAGAAGGTTTCTAGAAAGAGTCTAGATTAAAGATAGTACTTAGAGCTATCTCTATATTATAAACTACTTATTTAAAGGCTAGCTACGTAGTAATACTCTTAAGCTATTCTACGGGCTATACTTTACGTCTAATTTAATTAGAATATCTAGCCTATATAAATAAGACCTTAACTATATTACTATTAGGTCTCTTAAATAAGTTAATATTTATTAGAGCTAGGTAATTAGTTAAGTAGTTATAGAAAGTATTAAATAGGTTATTCTAATACTACTTAATATTCTAGAACCTATAGTAGTACCTAAACTTTGTAAGTATAAAGTTCTCTAATAGGTTTTATAGATACTATTAGACGTTAGTCTACGTCTAAACGTTACTAGCTTTAATCTTATAATCTAAAATATTATAATAGGTATTATATTTAACTAGAGTAGCCGCCTAACGCGTACGTTAGGTAGAGTTCTTAGTTATAAAGTATAGCTCTATTTACTAGGTTATTAAATAGATCTAGCATTTAAGTTATTAAACTATTAGAGCTTTTTTTAGTGTGCTAAGCTTAGAAGAATTCTAGAATTAGAGTAAGCTAGTAATTACCTTTTAGTAATCTTCTACTAAAAAGGCTATAAGTACTTTGCAGAGCCTTTCTAGGTATAGATTAAACCTAGCTAAGAATTTATTATATACCTTCTTAGCTCTCTTAACCTTATAGTCTAGAGCTTCTACTATCTAAAGATTATTCTAGCGTTTAAAAAGGTTAAGCTTATATATCTAAATAGAGTCTAATTAGCTAGAACTAGAGAGGTCTTAGATAAGAGTTAAACTATAATTAGTAGCTAGGGCTAAAGGTACTCTAGCTCTATAAGAGTTTTCTAAGATAGTATAGTATAACGCTCTAACCTTATCTATACGCTATAAAGAGTTTCTATAATAGAGTAAGGTAGTATCTCTATTCTTAGAAAGGTTTAGTATAGAGATCTCTTACGTTAGTAATTATAAGCTACTATTAGTGTAAGAGTTTTCTAGTAGAAGCTCGTAGCTAGGCTAGTCTTAGCCTAATTTAGAGTCTCTAGAGTTCTCTTCTTCTAGAGTAATTTTATTATTATTACTCTCTAGTAACTTCTTAAGATAGCCTTATACGTAGTAATGTTGTATTTTACTATAGAGTTATAGGTTAACGTTAGAGACATCTTAGAATATAGATAGGCTAGCGTTAGTTTATAGTATTAGCGTCTTATAAAGAGCACGCTTATTACCTTTTTAGCTGTTAGCTATTATAGTTAAATTTTTCGAAGAAGTTAATTACTAGTAGAGTATATTAAGGCTAGCTGCCTATCTGTGTAGAAGTATAAAGAATTTAAATTATAAGGCAAGTAGTAAGGCAGGTAGATAATATACTAAGGAGTAGTAATATAATATATTAGGTAGTGCTAGTATATAGTTAAATCCTTATAGAGTAAGAATAGGAGGAGACTAAGCTATATACCGGGCCGCCACGTAACCGTAGGCGGGCCGAGCAGCCTCCAAGAGGTGCCCGGCTGGATGGGCGTTACAGGCGGGGCTTCTGAGGCTTCTGAGGCTGGCGAATGCAGTACGGTTGGAGTTGACGGAACATATTCTAATATCCTTTCTACTATTGCGTCCTCCATATCGATTTCTAAGCCTTGATAGTCAGCATTTGCAGTATTCAAACCATGATCGACCATACCCGTGGCTAACATCTGCCTGGAGTCCACTCCCTCCGGTCCGGGACTTCCAGAGCTCCGACTCTGGAGCATGGCGGGCTCTTACATCAATATCAGTACCCATTCTCCTATGCGGACAGTTCCTTGCCTCATACCTTTAAAGCCCAACGAGTATTCTTGGACGCCTTGTAACTCCTTCAACCCATCTTCTAAAACTTTGAGCTTCTCATTACATTGCGCTCTCTCCGCTGAAGCCTCTTCGTCTTCAGAGGCCAAGGCCGCCACCGTTGCGTCGTCGATGTCAAGTACGTCTTCCGGACAGAACAAGGTCGGGAGCTTCTGGATAAGGCACGCCTCAACGGCGAGCACGCTGAAGTCATCGATGGCCTTTTTCAGAGCGACCTATTCTTTCAGAGTTACGTACACAAAGATTGGATGGTACGTACCTTGTAGTAGGCTTCCATGAAGTCTGTGGCAGTAGAGCTCGCGTAGTTGTTCATGTCGGCTTCGGTTTTATTAACGAGTGTGTTGATCAACGTGTTCACGTTGATGTTGATGTTGACCAGGCCATGATCCGTGTAATCAGCGCCAAGCACTTCTCCTAGAGACTTTTTGATTTCGCGCATCCGACGCTTCCCTTGCGCTTTCTGGACGGACTCGGTGAGATAGTGGTTGTACGTGATTGGGTGGCCGGTGACGTGGGGCTTGAGGATTTCTTGGACCTTGTCTCGGAGTTCTGTTATTAACGTTTTCAACCTGTCGTTGATGAAGCGTCTCAAGATGCCTTGGAGGGTGGAATGGTCGGAGACGTGTGCTAAGGCCGTACGCACGACGCTGTAGACGGCGCGAACAATTTCGTTCATATGGTAGTCTATCAACTGCGCCCACGGTTCGCGCTGTTCCTGGAAGAGTTGCCCGATAATGAGCGGGTCGAATGTTCCGGGGAGCTCCCTTCCCCTACTCCGTTCGAGGAGCTTTTTGACCTTGGAGATATAGTCTGATCGAGAGACTTGGCGAAAGCGCGAAATGGCTACAACTTCGTCGACGATAACGTGTTTGTGACCTTCCGTACGCATCACCTCTGCAAAATCCGTCAGCTGATTTTGAAGGACAGCTCTCAGACGCTTATGATAGCCCTCTCTAGTGGAGGCATCTCCAAAGAAAGGATCCGAGTATAGACCGTCGATCGCAGCTTTGACGAGACTGGTAAATGAATGGCTGACATGCAAGAGATATCGCCGTTGCTCTTGCGCTGTGGCCCTCGAAGCACCCAGTACTTCCAACCTCTCGGTACAGTCCCGAATCCCATCCTGAATCTGAGCGACAACATCAGGCAACTGTGCCAGAATGTGATCCTTGAGGATCTTGCTGAGTCTGGGCTTCAAGCTGTGAATCCCGACTTGGCTAGTATGGAGAGATCTCCAGACACCCGAAGAGAAGAATTGGGCCTCGGTATTGTTGCGTTCCTGCGAAGAAGAGTTTCTCGACTGGTAATCGCGATTGCGCAGAACGTGCCACCCAAGCCGGAATTTGACATCCTTATTCTGCGCAAGCTCTATGTAGAAGCGTTCGCTGTCAGAGCCTTCGTCCAAGGTATCCGGTTTGGTAATCAATCCAAGGGTACGCATGCCCTTCGGATCGATCTCACGCGAGTATCGAGTAATCGACTGGTTATTGAAGTCATTCTTCGCGGATACCACCGCGAGTATGATGCTCCGTGGGCTTTTCATATACGAAAGCACAAGAGATTTGACGGTGTCACTGTCTGCATCAGATTGCGAGCGGCTGCCGGCTTGGAATAATCCAGGGAGGTCGACGAGGGTGAGGTGCGGTTGGTCGGGGCCGGAGAGCTCCACTCGAAGGATATCCGAGCTGAAGACCTTGGTGCTGTCGTTGATACCCATCGCATCTTTTGCCGACTCGATGATATCTCCGAGTTGAAGATCTTCCGCAGAAACTGAGACGTTGAAGTTCAGTAGCTTCTCTTTTTCGGCTTCGGAGCGCCCTTCCTGGGATCCGGGGACGATGCGGATTCTGATGGGCGCGACGGGACCGCGTCGGAGAATCAGTTCGGTCGCGAATCTGGTACATAGGTTGTCTTTGCTTGGGAACCGAACTCCTGACACTGCTTCCAGGACCGAACTCTTGCCAGACGATTGCTCCCCGCACACAATGATCTCTGGCAGATCAATGTATCGGCTGATTCCATGTGAGCGAAGACCGTCTACGACATCCAACAGGCTTCGTGTATCGTTGAACTGGAGAGAGGTGTGCCCGTCATGGAGAGATTCGCCTTCAGCCATGTTGTTGAATGTAAATCTTGAGCGGACGCATCAAGTGGGTAAGGCAAGAATGGAGAAGTATGTTCGGAGGCAGAGCGTGGCAGAACCGGTGAGAAGTGTTGAACATTGTGTGCTGGTCGCTACTGCAGTGTAACCTGCGCTGTCCAACCAACGAGCAGCACGTTAGTTCCAACCTCATGGGATTGGAAGGTCCGCGCGCATCCGATAACAAACTCGGACCAAACATCAACAGTAATTTGCAATCCGAGGATGTGGACGCATCAGCTCCACACACTCACATGCGTGTTCGGATGTTGCCATGCAAGAAGGTGCGGGGTTGCACGCCAGACTGCGGCTCGGAGCAGCAAATCCTATACATCGGGATACCAACCGCCGGTGATTTGTTGTCGTCGTCCACGACCTGGATATGACACTGACACAAGTAGAAATGGCGCGCCGCCGAGTAGCTTTAGAAGAGGGATGAATGGGGCTTACCTTAGCGCCCACTTTCCAAATCTGGTAAAGCGTCAGATCTGGACGCGTGTTCCAACATTCTGCTTGAACTGGCGAATGAATTTCTATTGTCTCCATACCATCACTCCACAAAGTCCCAAAGCCACTAGCAATCCGCAACCATAACCCCCGATTTTGGGTTCGTTCCTCTACTCATCTCTTACTTGGCCCGCCGCGTTTTCTGTATCACCAGCATCACCCATACCGTCTAGCCAGCTGACGACAACCACTAACTTTCCTATCCATAGAGTCCTCCTCAGTCTCCTCAGTCCGCACCCAAGCGTTCAACTTGGCAAAGAAATCCTCGCCTCGACTAATAACACGTTTTCAAACGTGTCCCAGCTCCCGCATAACGCATTCGGCGGCATTTTTCCCCTGCGAGTGAAGCGGTTACCTACGCCACAACCGTAATAGAGGGTGCTGAAGAGCTGAGACGCTCCGTCTAAGAGGAGCAACTTCGCCGTAAAGGGTATGAGAGCTACGCATTAGCGGAGTAACGCCGACACGAAGACGCGAAGACGACACTCGAGAAGCCGCGTACTCGATTTGATCGGGGACAAGCGAACATTGCCATGTCGACAATTTGCGATGTATGTCAGAAGATCTTCCAGACCGGGGTTAGTCCTCTAGGTCTAGGACAACACGCCCTCAGACATCCGGCTGTATTTCACAGAATTTCTTCATCATGCAACGGTCGACAGTCTATTGGCCTCTACTAGAGGAGGATGCTATATTTGCTTGCATCTTCAGAAGTATCTGTTGAGCAAGAGGAGCCTCGCTGAGCTGCGGTCGCTCAAGTACAAAGACTCCTTTACAACCTATGAGTACCATGGAAAGATCAACGCCGCGTCTCGACACCCATTCCACTTTGACATTATCTTGCGTTGCGGAGCCGGCAACTGGCTATGGATGAAGACGCTTCCGGCGAGAGGTAGGCGGAGTCTCCTATGCCTGGGGAATGTTTGAACGCATCGGCTTACCCGGGCAGGGTTGACATATACCCCAGAATTCCAGGGTCTTTCACCGAATACCGGCTCGGAAAGATCTTGGAAGCAGTCGTTAGAGTGGTTTGAAGGGTGCACCAGGTTCCACGGGAAATGCAACACAGTCGCAGAATCCACACCCTGGTTTCCAACGCGGCTCATCGATCTTGGCTTGGGAGCTTCAGCGCACCTTCGCCTTATTGATACCAGACGGATTCCTCCACTGGGCCGGTATGTCACGTTGAGCTATTGCTGGGGTTCCGCTGCAACATTGAAGCTCACTGGCGAAACCTCGGATGCATTCATGACGCGCCTGCCGGAGTCAGAGCTACCCAGAACATTCAGAGACGTTATCGAGGTTGCTAGGCGTCTCGGGATCCGCTATCTCTGGATCGATTCCCTGTGCATAGTGCAGGACTCGGCTGAGGACTGGAGCGCAGAGTCATCTGTGATGGGCCGCGTTTACAGAAACGCTCTGTGCAATATTGCCGCCACCGCGTCAGCGGACAGCCAGGGAGGACTCTTCGTTGATCGAGATGCTCGCATGGTATGTCCCGCTGTCATCGTATCACAGTGGAGCGATTGCCCTCCGTCCACATATCAGATCTCAAAACGGCACGTTTGGGAAGACGGCGTTTCTGACGCCGTACTCAATACCCGCGGCTGGGTTCTCCAAGAGCGCTTCTCAGCTCCCAGGATCATGCACTTTGCCGCTGATCAAATCTACTGGGAGTGTTTCGAGCTCCAAGCCTGCGAGGCATTCCCAAGAGGCTTGCCGTCGATGGTGCGCCGTCACGGTGTTACTCTCCCCATGAAAGAGTTGAATATCACCAATGGAGGGAAAGAATTGCGACCTTTTTGGCAACGACCTGCTCTTCCAATGTTCGACGGGTACCGCGTGTGGAACGAGATCGTGGAGGCGTACACTTGCACCCGTCTGACCAAGTCCAAGGACAAATTGGTCGCGATTTCCGCACTTGCCAAAGAAGCGAGACGAGCGCTGAATGACGACTATCTTGCGGGGCTGTGGAGACGCCATCTCGGGTGGGAACTTGGATGGCAGGTTTCCGAAGAAGACAGCCACTCCAGACCAAGTGACTACCGCTGTCCGTCTTGGTCTTGGGCGTCGGTGGACGGAAAGATCCACACCACAGATTATGGGTCAGATGCGCATCTATTTCTCAAGGTCCTGGACGCCCGAATCACGCCGTCAGGTGATGACGACACTGGCGAGGTTGCTGGTGGGTTTGTTCGGCTGCAAGGTCCCATGTATGCTGTGTTGGTGATTCCGAACGGCTCTACGTCTCTGCCCGGTGATAGGTACGACGTGTTTTTGTCCGACAGAAGCACTGGCAGAGAAATATGGAGAGAGGTGAGCGCTGCAACCCACCTCGACGTCGACATGGCCAACACCCCCGATACGGAGGAGAAGTATTATTGCATGTTGCAGTACTCCTCGGACACTGACATCTGGTGCCAGTCTGGACTGGACGAGGACTACTATTTGGTGACGCTACTACTCAAATACGACGGCATAAACAAGAATTATAGCCGTCAGGGAATGCTCCAGCTGATGTCATTTGAGCGGGGCCAGAGCGGCTATGTTGATGATTTATCATCAATCCGGAGCCGGCGAGAAGGTGAGAGCATCAGTGGAAACCAAGTGGGTACTCTGACAATACTGATGACGACGACAGAACCAATGGATCAGGATCACGATCGCGATAGTGATGAGGTTAATCCATGCACCGGAAGACAACCAGTCGCGCGCCCAATCCAACGCCTGCGAGATCTCGAACTGTGTCATCACGACCCTAATATTCCGCGCGAAGCCTATGACCACGAGCTTGGCTACACGATCACAATTGTCTAGGGTGTTCCACACGCCTGGTAGGGGCACCCGCGCTTTTCCACTGTTGAAAGCGGTAAGATGATGGGCGACAGAAATGGGAGGAATATTCAATTTTACATCGACAGCCTCCAGCATAAGCAGTCTGGTCGGAAAGCCATCTACATCCCTCCCACCCTCTATATACAAAGGAGCGACTCAGGTCAGTACCCTTTCCACCATATGCGACCAGCATCGCATGTCCACCTCCACCAATCCACCAACCTTCCAAAACTCGTCCCAGGCCAAAGCCAACGGGATCACACAGGTCGCAGAGCGCAAAAACCAACCCTTCATCCAAAGGGACGAGGATACTTCAAACCAGCCGACGCAAGCGCGTCTCTTTCAGCTCCCCATCAACTCGCATTCTCAGCCGCCTCTTCTCGGTCCAGGAACAGAAAAGGGAAAAGAGAAAAAGCAAGGAGGAAAGTAATCAACGCTTGTTATCGATCAGCAGCTCGTGCGAACGCTCGCCTTCCCCCAGCAACGGCCACAGCGGGTCCGGGGATGCATCCAGCAAGGGCCGGTGGGTTCGCAGAAGGGCGTGGGACGAGGCGAATGAGCGATCATATCCAATATGCGCGGCACGTCACAGCAACAAGAACCTGCGCGTCCATTGCGTCCTTGACTGCGCATACGCTGCAGAGGCTCGGGGCCAACCGGGCAAGCCACGGGAAGGCGCGGAGCGCAGCTGCAGGTACGGAGAAGGGAAATGGGGCGGAGGGTATGCTGGAGCCGTGCGGCGTTGAGAGGACCTCGGGAACAGACATACCAAAGGAGATACACGCGCACTCATTGCAGAGCTTGGAGTGCTTCATAGACTTGAAGGAAAATCTCGCAAGAGATAAAGAAAATTTGTCTTAACGATGGAGAGAGATTAGGAAAAGTACTAGAACGCTCCGAGTATATGCAATGAGGGGATATCATCCAACGCCCAAACAAAATGCAGAGCACGACGCAAAAACAATTAAACCAAAATACATCGAAAGCCATCTCGTGGAGCAGAGCTCGGACGAGGAAATGGCAAAGGTTGAGCGAGAATGTATTGTGAAACACCAGTTTCGATACCAGAGAGAAGCATAGCTCCGTCAATCTGGGGTATCTCAGAGAGCAAAGCATCATCTGAGAAGGAGACCTAGGGACCAAGGTACGTAACCTGAGCAATTACGTCTCGTCACAGGCCGATGTAGCAGTCCGCGCGCTTCTTAGACTCAAGACGCAAGCGTAAAGGTCGGGGAAGCGCGCGAATTATCGACAAATGGGTCTAATCCGCGAAAGGATTCTTCTCGCGGGGTCGATCAGCGAATGGATTTTGCTTCTCGTCGAGTGGAGAGGGTTCTGCGAGTTGGCCATAGCTACTCACACGGGCATGTCCAGGACGTGCGGAGTCAGTCACCGCATGAGCGTCCACTTGGCCGACCTTTTCGGATTGGGCAGCACTGTCGCTTGGCCCATACGTTGGGAAAGCTCGGGGCTGCAGAGTGTACGGTGCAGCCTTGTTTACCGGATACTCGTACGGTGGCGCAGCGTCGCCGGGATACTCCTGGGTCTTTGGGGCGTTGTCGATAGCAGGATCAATGACGTAGGCTGTGCCTGTTGCAGAGTCGCGGCGCGCCAGATGAGTGCAAGCGTAGATGAGGCCACCGAGCGCGATCAACAACCAGATAACGATGAGGGTAGTCGAAATGAGCGCCTCGGTGCGGATGCCACTAATAAGCTTGTCGATGACGTGGTCGATGGCTTCGGTGACTTCATCCTTGGCTTTGCCGTTGGGATTGGCAAGCAACTCAGCCGCTGAGTCGGAGTCGCTTAGCTGGGCGAGGGCTCCGAGAGAAAATGTGTCGTTTTTCACACCCGGGAAATTGACGTGGGCGTGGTCCTGGACCCAAGTAAGACCCTTCTGGAAGCTGGCAATCTTCAATCCGATCAGGCAGTTGAGAACTTCTTTGATCGGATCGTAGAGAACAGTACCGCCAAAAGTATCGTTGAGCGTGGTGCTCATCTTGTCGACAAAGGTGTTGAGGGTATCGTTGACTGCGGTCGTCGTAGTGTTGACCCAACCGAGAATCTCGTCGTTGATCTCGCCGTCGAGCTTGTCAATGGCGCCATTCACACCGCCCGACCATGACATGGAGGCGTTGTTGAGCGATGTGACGACTTTTTCGGCGAAATCGGCGACTTGATCCGTGAGCTCGGGGACCTTCTGTTCAATGCCCTTCAGTAGGAGGTATTGGCAGAAGCAGGAAAAGAGTCCTGCGATACCCAGGGAGATCAAGAAGAGCATGGGAACGGAGGTAGCGTAAGCCCAAGCCCAGCGCATGATCGCTTGACGACGAGCAGAGCCGAAGCGGCGGCCAAGCCACAAGCCGAAGCCGGACGAGGTAGGACGAGACGCCAGGTAGACGACGTCCATCGCCTCGTGTCCATCTCCAAAAAGTGCAGCGCGTTGTTCCATCCTGCGATAGCGTCGAATTTCCATATACGCCATAGGGACGCAGACGACAATCGCGAGGGCGATGAGCACGCCAAGAGCAATCTTGCGTGCCGTGTAGCCCATCTGGATAAGATCGTCGAAGAAGTTGTTAATTGAATTGCCCTCGGAGCAGAAGTTGAGCTGCTCCTTTTGCGGCACCGGCAGAAGCTCTCGGTCAAAGGTAAAGTTGTCCATGCCAGCGATGAGCTTCTTGACTTCCTCGAACGGGAGGCGGATGATGTTGTCAGTGAAGTTCTGCACATCTTCGAAGGTCGGAATTGACTTGTTGAGCTCTTGGAGTCCTTGCTGCAGCTCCGGTGGCACCTCGAGTGCTTTGAGCTTGTTAATTTCGTCGTCAAGGTTGATCTCGGGTTTCGTGAAGTCAGGGCCAAACGGGAAGTTGATCTTGTCGATGATGCTGTTGATGCCGTCGGTGACCGATTTAACGGCACCGCTCATCTCGTTGGTGACCTCGTCGACGGTCTCGTCGAGGTTCTTGGCGATTGCATTGCCAATTTCGACTGCAGCGTGCAGACTGCCGCTGACGGCAAGAGTGATCAGGCAGAGGTAAGTGCTTGTCATCATGTGAATGACGAAGAGAACGATTTCTTCGACTCCAGTGACGCTGAGGTCCATCATGGTCATGAGTCCATTCACTGCCTTCTCGACTCCGGTAGCAGTCATTTCATTGATGCCTTTGGACATGAAGTGGGGCATGGAAGCCATGGAGCTCCCAATGTTCTCGACCTGGGTGCATGCGCTGAGGGCTTCCCTGCGAGCAGAAGTAAGGCTTGAGTCGGTGCTCGCGATGGCGAAGAGAAGCCTGACGAGGACGAGGATGAGAAGGATAGTCCAGCGGTTGATCCATATCTGTGAGAGCCTAGCTCGAAGGCCGAGGTATGGTTTGAGGTATGGTGTTTGGTTTAAGGTAGGTCGTGGTGCTTCTTGAGGGGCGTAGTAGTCTCGCATCTCATGATCGCCAGCGGAGAGAGACGGAGGTACAGCCGGGAAGGTGTGCTGTTGGTTTCCTGTAGAAGCCATAGCGGAAGCTGGTGGCTGCGAAAGCAAGGCCTGGAAGGTGTATTAGATCTCGTGCAGGCAGCCAGCAGCCAGTAAATCGAGGTCGAAGAGGAAAATAGAAGAGAGAACAAGCTGGGGGAGCGGAAGGAGAATGACGAGTAATCTGCCAGCGATGCTTGGCGAAGTGGACGGAGAATTATTGTGGGTTCAGCGAACAATAGCGAACAATAGGAAATAAAACCCAGGTACCCCAACGCTCCGTACAATGCAATAAAGAAAAGGTGAAGCAGTGTAGTGAAGGTGAACAACGGGGCAGCAGCGGCGGGGGATATGTATGGACTTGGTGCATTCACTGCACAATGACATGAAACCGGGCAGCTCTACGTACCGCGAGAAAGCGCAGGACCGAATCGCAGGCCGCCTGCAAGGTACCAATGGCACCTCGCACAGAGGCCTGCTCGACCAGAGCGTTTCGACAGCGCGTCCGCTTCCGATGCGGCTCTATTCTGGAACAGGCGGGATTGGGCTAGGCGGGCGGCCCAGATAGGCGCCCGGCGAGGGGGACCAGCTCCTAGCGACCAGTCATTTGGTAGTCAGGCGGTCGGGCTGGCGGAGCCCAAACAAGGCGCTAGAAGGGCTCGCGAGGCGGCGATTGTTATTCTGGCCTCTTTGTCCTCAAGTGGTTGTCGCGAATTGTCCGAGCGAGCGTCCTTTGTCGGCGAGCTTGCGCTGATTGGCTGGCGACGGCCGGGCAGCCACGAAGGGGGGCAGGTCGGAAGACCTACGCGCAACCTGGGTGACGGCGCAGACGTCGCAGAGGGAGATTGTCCAGCGCAAGGGAACACGGCCTCTGGGTGTCGGTCGGGGGCAGAGGAAGTGCTCGCCCCGCAAAACATGGCGATGCACGCGGTTTTGTAGGCTGTCCCGCGGGTTCGCGTCCGGGGCTTGTGTGGCGCGCCGCTTCCCTGTTTCCTGCAGGCGCGACCCGACGTCATCTTCGCGCTGCCGTCACCGTCGTGGGAAATCTCCGCTTCCTCTCCCCTTGACGTCTTTCTGAGCGCGACGCTTTCTCGCGATGCAGCCGACACACATCTTCTCAGTGAGCCTCCGTCCTGCGCGGAAATAGCTGCGGGATGGGCAGCGCGTAGAGTCGCTTTGCGTGACGCGGTTGCGGGCCTGTCGCATCGCCAAGGCAGCAGAGCCAGTGGCTGCGGCGTCGCGCCCTGTTTGTGTGGGGCTGCGATGGCTGCGATCTGCTGCCGCTGTGGCCCAATCAAGTGCCCGGCCGCCTGCGCCCCCCAAACGTTCCTTCCACATCCATCCATCCCAACTTCCGTCTCGGAAAAACCTCCGACAACGTCGTCACCCGCCCCGAGCCGCTGCGCTGGTCCTGTTGTATGGCCGTTTCCGCATCGCAAGTTCAGCGATACCCTCCGCGTCTCGTGCATTCTCTCCTCCGACCAAGGCCCGTTGAAAGACCCATTAAGGTCTGAACCCGATTCTGTGACTATCCAGGCCCCTCTCCACACGGGTGCTTCGGCGTGAGCATCTTGGTGCGGTATGCTGCATAGCGAGCTTGCATCGCCTGCTGTCGCTCCCTTGCTTTTCTTCCGGCTCAGCGCACATCCGCACTTGCCCTTCAGTCATTCCATCCGCTCTCCTGTTCTCTCGAATGTGTCCGATGGCGTAGAAAGAGAATATACCCTTTTCCCGAACAGTCCCGTCCATCCACGCCGGAAGTTCTGCCGCAGGAGACTCGAGCGCCTGCGGAATCAGTGAAGAGCAGGATGAGCGTTGTCACGGCCGCCGTTTATTGTAGAGTTCGTAACGACGGAGCTTGGGCCTTTTTGAGGCCATGCGGCGAGGTCGCGGACCTGACCACGACGAAGCTGATTCGAGAATCCAATGCATGCAAGGCCCAGCAGTGGCTTCGTCGGCCAGCGGCCGTCTGTCCACCTCGTCTCTGTTGTAATCTCAAGCGCGTTGCGGGTCCGGGGCGACAGCACGCGGCAAGCGGCCCGTCGCTGGACGGTTGGACGGTTCAGAGTCTTCATCACTTTCACTAGGCCGAACTTTCCCTCCCATCTACGCCCGGTTTATGTCATTGCAGATCCGCGACGGGAATGTGTCCCGAGTGCTGTCGCAACTCCATGACTGCCATTTCCCCCAGAGAGTGTCTTTGTAGCCTGGGAGCTGGGTGCGTGTGCGAACACCAACAGCAGCATGGACTCTCGCCCCATTGCCATTGGTGCACTGTCTGCGTTTTGATGAGCGCGTTGGGCTGCCGGCAAAGCTTGTCTGTGGGCAGTCTTCCAGAACAACCGTGCCCTAGGCCACGATAGCTTCACTGAACCCCGCCGGCCGACATTGACCTCGTACTCTTTTCACTCGACGCCTCGCTGCACAACTTATAGACCGCGCTCTTTCTCCAACGAACACTTTTCTTTTTCTCTCGCACTCAACTTCGGAGCCTTCAACCGCAATCGCTCGCGCACAGCTTTCTGTATTTTCGGCAACGCAAACGTTAGACATCTCGCTTTCGCGCCCGAGCTTTATACCGTTCGCTATCCGCGCTTTGTTCGACGTCGTTGTTGCGGGAAGAGTGTGGCTTGTTTCGATATTCTCCGGGAACGCATCCCCGTGGAGCCTGCCGGGCCGCATCGTACGCGCAGAGTCACCTTGTGTTATCAGTAGGTATTTCACTTTACCCCAGTGGCCGTCTTTATAGGCAAAATCCCGACCGCACGACACCTGTAAGCGCAATTCTCTCATCCTCGGCTACTTTCAACCTCACTCGGGTGCCGTTGTGTGTATCATATTGACCCCAGGCAGCAATAGGCCTGTTGAACAGAACAATATTGAACAGAACAATATTGAACAGAACAATATCGCTTCTGAGGCTTCTCTCAGGCGGAAGCTCACTACTACCCCGTCAGTCTCCACTCTTGGTATGTCCAGACTTTTCCCCTCCGCATACTACCCTCTGCGCACCGCATCTTCTCGCAAGAACTCACCTGGTCGTTCAGCACGAAGCCAAAGTTGAGAAGCCCGGTGGCATTTCTCAAAGAAGCGACACCCTTACCTCAGACGTCCCAAGTGCAGAACCCTCTAGTAAGTATGTGGTCAATGCTTTCGTACGCGTTTGTTCGAAGTCGACGGCCATGCGTAGAAGCGGTGAAGGGAGTCTTGTGATTCGTCAATAAGCTCTCACATGGCAGAGAGTCTTGCATGCATGGCGGTCATTCTGGCACCATGACCAGATACTTCCAAATAGACTGCTTCAAGTGGTCACTCCGGCCGAGCAACGTGCAGGGAGAAACTTCGGCGCCACTACACTGTCAAGAGCAATATCACTAACGTAAGAAGAGAATAGGTGCCAAAGTCATCTGGTGGGCCTTAGTAGCCGCTAGCTTCACTGCGTTCACCGCTTGATAGTCGCCATCCCTCAAATTCTGTCGGCTGGATCGAACTCGCCACATACATCCACCCCTCAGCTCCTTCAGATCACCTCGCGACGACGCATCAGACCCATTAAGAAGTTCCTTACAAGTCTCCCGGTCATCTTAACCGCCCATTAACAGCGTGGGGGTCAAGTCCTCCGAAGACAATCACTCCCCGCCACCTCTCAATTTCTCTTCAATTCCGAGGAACCATCGAATGGCCACTCACAACCACACGGCGCGTGGTGCACCCCGCGAGGGCGACGGAGGCATCTCGCTGCCCGCTATCGATACCTCCGCTCGGTCATCCTCCACTGAGGGCAGTCCAACTCTTCAAGGAAACACAAGCCCGACCGCCAGCTGCACCTCTGGGGGCGATGAGAACGGCTATCAGAACGACACGCCGGCCACCAATACCAGCTCCCGCTTCTTCAAAGGAGGCTCCAGCCGCTTCAATGACATGTCCAGTCCCAGCGATCCAGACTTCAAGAGCGATGACCTCGGTATGAAGAGTCTGAACCTCTACGACGAGCCCGCTCGGCCTTTCAAGAACCGCCAGGCTGTCGGCGCCTGGCACGGCGGTGGCGGAGGATACCGCAGCTCGCGTACCTGGGTCTCCCCCGATGCGCAGCATATGCAGGAGTTCCTACTCATCCGCAACTCGATGCGTCGCCTCTTCAAGCACTCTGAACTCTTCAAGTGGAAATACCAAGACTACATCGCACACCGCGAAGCCATGCTCGCATCGAAGACAGCAGCGTTGGCCAAGTCCGTCAAGATGAAGGAGGAAGCTCTCGAGCTCAAGGAACACACTATGGACGCCAAAGCCATGACGTCTCTCATGCGGCTCCTTCCCGGCGAGCAGAACCTATCTATGCATGGCAATGTGGGCCGTGTGCTGGGCGAGAAGACAATATGGTGCCACGACTGGATGAACGGCAAGGACGAGATTAGTCCGTGGCCGACGTTCCCGGAGATGAAGTGGGAAGGCGATGACCGCGCTAAGACCGGGGTTGGACGCTTCCTCCCTCTCCCGCGTGAGATGGGTGCTAAAGGAATCTCTTGGAACCAACTCCAAGTCGTCGAACAGTACCCAATGGACCAAGTCCAGCGCATCCCTACCATGGAGGACGTCTATCTCCCCGTCGACGAGATCGACGACGACGTCAAGTACGATCTCCTAAACAAGGACTTAGAGGAGGCGATGGATGAGTACCTGGAGTCATAACGTCCGCCCCATCCAGACCGAGGAAACGAACAAGCATTCTCTGAACCCAATGGGAGCCAATTTCTTTACGCATCGATTTGGCCGCGAAAGCACACGAACGAACTAATACGACATGACACAATTTGCTACAACATCTGTCATGTCACCGAGGAATAAGCGAACAATCAACTCGTCAATCACGGTAATCGATATGTCATACCTTCGTAGGGGATGAAACTGTTTCTATCTGTTGGTTGGTGGGGCGTGAGTGTCTTTTTCCAGTCTCTTTCCTTCTGCTTCCGTTTTCTTCTCTCCTCACTTCATTCTTCACTTCTTGCCCTTGTATTCGGCACGGCCTTCTTTCCCTTACGGACTCATGCGGCATTTCTCGGAGTCTCCGGGCGGACTTTTGGCGATATCCCGATACCCTTTCTCTTTCGTTTGGAACTTCTCTGCAAACGGTACGGTCTCATTGGCGTTCTCCCAACTAGGGATTAGCGGTGTTCCTTCAAGGCGCAAAGCTGCCTGGAGTGCAATCGAGCGGCCTTCTGGTCTGGCCAGCCGACATCAACTGTATACGATTGTTTCCTTTATGGTCTCTCCCTTCTACACTTCCCCAGATCCAAGCGTACCCCTTTGTTTCTACATCATTCCAAACCCCCTCCGTGTAGCTCACATCTCTTCCATTGGCATGGCGCAAATTGGATGACCCAGCACGGTGGACCGAGCAGGCGTACGACAATGTCAGGTTTTCGGATTCCCCCCTTTTCTTCATTGCAGGTGTAGAATACCCCCCTCTGCTAGGCAACTCAAAAAATTCTCTCTCAACAAACCGTCTAAGTATCTTGCCAATTATCCGTCCGGTAAATTGGTGAGGTTCCTCGAGCGTCACACTGCAACTGACGGGAGTACATTTTGCAGCGCACAACAATCCTCCATTCTAGAAGGTCAAAGCGATGCGCCATCCTTCGATAATCTACTCCATCTCCGCCGGAAAATATTCATGCCTCATATTACCGATCCGAAATGTCCTTGTACATGCATCCCTTTGCGAGTTCTTCTCGCCATCTCGGTATCCCGCCGAACGCCACCAGCTGAGACAGCGGTCAAGAGCCGCCCGCAGCCAACACGAGCTTTGGTGTAGGTGTTTACTCGGTCTTGTAGACAGTTGCATCTTCAGCTCTCGCTCTTGAACCATCGATAGAGCCTTGGTGACATTACGCCTATGCTGTACTCTCATCTTGCGCAATGGTTTGTGCACATTAGAGATGCGCTTACGAGCCCGTAGTCGCCCAATATGTAAAATTTGCAGTACAGCAGCGGTCCGGTCATACTGAGCAAGTTCGATGATGAGGGTATCTGCGAGTATGTCCGCTGGGAGACCTCGCAGTTCTGGTCTGGATTTGATCAATAGGATGGGCTAAGCCGAATCTAGCTAGACCGGCCAGCTGAGGCCTTGCGGCAGGAGCGCGGACCTCCGTCTCATCGCCTACCACCTCGTCTATCCTCTTCTACGTTAGCCGTCATGTACGTCGTTCCTCCTGCGATTCCTCATTCGTCTGTTATCGCCTTCGATAGCGAAGGATCGCAAGGGTGGTCGGTATTGCGTACGTGAGTTCGTGTCCGTGCAGAGTACACTTTTGGCTGCCTGTTTCAGACCTCCAACTCAAATACCCCCTCTGCCCCCTCTATCCGCATCTTATGACTCTTCTCTCTTGCTGATCTCGTCAATCGAGTCCATCATGGCTCTCCTTTCCTTTACCAACATTACTCTCTCCCTCGTCAGTCTCTTGGTCGCCCGTCGCATCTACTGGGAAGTTACGACGGGCACGCGGCGCCGCGCACTAGCAAAACAACATGGCTGTTTACCGCCCAAACGGAGGCCTTCCAAAAAACTCTTATTTGGGATTGATCACATCATGCGGAATTTCAAAACGTACAAGGAACATCGCCTGCTCGACGAGGGGAGAGAGGTCCTCACAGGCAACAATGCCCATACTGTCTTCATGAAGATCCTCGCCGTGGAGCTATACCTCACTGACGACCCCGAGAATATCAAGATGATGCTGGCTACTAGCTTCGATCAATGGAGCCTAGGACAGGAACGTATCGCGCAGATGTCGTCCTACCTGGGAGACGGCATCTTTACGACGGAGGGCGCGGCCTGGAAGCACTCGCGGGACATGCTACGGCCGTGCTTCGAGCGCTCACAAGTCGCGGACGTCTCAATACTGGAGAAGCACACCAACCGGCTCATCGACCTGCTCCCAAAGGACGGCACTACGGTCGACCTGCAGCCGCTCTTCCACGAACTCACCTTGGACATCGCAACGGAGTTCCTATTCGGGCAGAGCACGAACTCGTTAGATCGGAGTAAAGAGGATAAAGCCTGTCAGCAGTTCATTGAGGCGTTTGAGTACTGCCAGAATCCGTTCAATGAGCTGAGCTCCAGATTTGGAATACTCGGGATGTTCCTACCGGATTCGAAGTTCAAGAGATGCGCGAAGATCATTCGAGGTATGTATTATTTCCGTAGTAGAAACGTCACTGCATAGTTCCCATCTGCTTCGTCAAGATAGTAGGGTTGCTTGGCATTTGAGCAATATGGCTTCGATGCGTGGGTCTGGCCGCGGAGAATCCACTCGGCGTTCCGTATTCGTCTATACGTACTCTGTTCCGCGGACCGTTCCAGTGTCTGATTTGCGCGGCGCTCAGTGCCACAGGTATTGAATGCCGAGATTCGGCGATTGCTGAGGACGTAGAGGTGCTCTTGTATCTTTCTCCCTCCTCGAGCGCATCTCTTCGTCCTTCCCATTCTACCCATCTGCCTCTTCTAGTCCTCGCTAACTGCGCTCCAGACTTCGTCGACAGAATCATCGACGAGGAAATGGCATCAAGATCAGCCTCTCAAAAGGATGGCAGCCCATCCGCACGCTACGTTTTCCTAGACGAGTTGCGTTCCGTAACCCAAGACCGCACCGTCATCCGCTCCGAGCTTCTCAACATCCTCTTGGCTGGCCGCGACACAACCGCCTCCCTTCTCTCAAACCTCCTCTTTGAGATCCCGCGCCATCCGGAAATCCTTGCCCGGCTGCGCCGCGAGATCGTGGAGCATGTTGGAGACGAGGTACCCACATATCAGCAACTGAAAGAGATGAAGTACCTAAAAGCAATAATGAGCGAAAGTCAGCGACTCTACCCCATCGTCCCTTCAAATTCGAGACAGGCGTTGCAAGACACCATTCTTCCCCGCGGCGGCGGACCTAAGGGCACAGCCCCAGTCCTCGTTCCTAAAGGCGCATACGTACAGTATCATCCGTATGCCATGCACCGCCGGCCTGACATCTATGGTCCAGATGCCGACGTCTTCGAGCCCACGCGCTGGTTGGACGGCGAGCATCCGTCTTCTCCCTTGCGCCCGGGCTGGGGGTACAATCCCTTCAGCGGCGGTCCAAGGGTTTGCATCGGGCAGAACTTTGCCCTTACGGAAGCGTCGTTTGTCGTAGTAAGGCTACTGCAGACGTTTGACATTGAGAGTAGGGATAACGAGGCATGGAGAGAGAAGTTGAGCCTTACGTGCACGGGATTGGGTGGGTGTAAGCTGGGACTGAAGCTGTTGGGGCAATGAAGAGGCGGCAAGTGGAATCGATCGTGGATAATGACGCTCCGCGAGCGACATCAGCCTAGATTAAAGGGCGAGCGTGCGGGCAGCGATGTGTATGACCATGTATAAAAGGTAAGATTATCTAACCGACTTTGCTTATCATCTCACTAGGGCAGAAAGCTACTCTCCGATCAATATGACTCTATTCAAACACCTTGTCATGCTCGGCGTCTACGCACTGATTGCGATTACGTTCACAGCCAGGAATCTAGATCGACATATACAGACAACAGTATCACTTTTCTCTATATACTACATGAAGCATCAGGGAAGTCGTTGATCTCCCAAGCCAAGCGACAGCCATGCACTAACATATCAACTCTGTCAGAGCCGACCATAGTAAAAACAACCAAGGAATCCAAAGACCAACAGACCACGCAACAGACACCCCGGCCCTTCTACATACCCAGTGTCTCCCACTCCTCCAACATAGTCTCAGTTCGCAGGCGGTCAGTCACCGTCTGCTTCTCCTCGACACGCTGCCGAGTGATCCTACCCTCTCGCACCCGCCTCATGACATCCGGGTCTCCATGAACCTTCCTTCCCTTGTGCTTCATCTCGTGCGGACGCACACCGCGCTCCAGCTCGTGTATGATAGCGACGTCGTGCTCGTCCTTGCCGACAACGAAGCAATAGTACGGGGCATCGGGAAGTTCGAACGCAGGGATCGCTGCCCGATGGAAGTCAGTACTGCAAAGTGAGCAGTAAAAGTCACCTGAGATTAAATCCGGATGCGGCGCCAACTTGGCCTCCTGGTCCCTCCACACCTTGTCAAGGACGTCCAGCCAAACATTGTTCCGCACGACATCGTTTGCATTCGCCGCCGTAGCAGCGAATGCATTGAACCCCTCGAAGATGCTCTCGCGGATCTTGACCAGTGTTGGCGCGTACTGGGCTGGGACCGGGGACCCGAAACAGTTCTTGGGCTGGACGAGTGCGTTGGCGCAGTTCGCTGCGCAGGGCTCGGCGTCTCGGGCTACGGCGACCGTGTGGCCACAGGCGAGCTTGTGGATGCGCGAGTTGGCGTAGTAGCACGGGCGGGTTTCCATCTGTTGGTGAGACTGCAGCGGCCACCACTGCTCGCGCATGCCCTTAGGCGTGGTGATGGAGAAGTACTTCTTGCCGCGCTTCTTGTGCATGATGTGCTCATGCATTGCTGAGGGGGATGGACGCCCGTTGAGCTCCCATTTCTTGACTCTGGAGCTGGATGGACGGGCAGAGTGGAAGTTGGATCGGGTGTTGGAGGGCTTCACGGGGGCCATTGCGGAGGTGAGTCTGGTATATATAGGTCAGAGTTGAGACTGAGATATATGTGGAAAAGAGGTGGATTGACAGGAGTAGTGAGAGTAAGAAACAAGTGAGAGAAGGCCCGGCTTTTATACTGCTCATACCACGGCAGGGGAGAATCACACATCCCATGAAGGAATCACGCCGACTTCGACGCTCTGTTTGCATACCCCCACCTGATGGGACTCAACGAGCAGGCGGAAGTTATTTCGGGCTTGCACGTGGAAAAAAAGGTCGCCTGAAGTGCTTCGAGGGATATTACAGCAAACGAACCGACCACGGTACCAGGCGAGGAAATGACTCCAAGACTCCATTGCTCGATTCTACTAATCTATCCCCAGGCCTAGAAGCGCATCCAACCGCCATCTCACCACTCTACATCCCACCCATCTCCTATCTCAGCACAAAATGAAGCCTCGATATAGCACTCACTCACTCCTCCCTCGCCACACCCGCAGCCCTCTTCAACCCCACGCCCGGCCTCACATTCCAATCAATCCCCTCCCTCGCCCTGGCAAACGCCTCCTTCACGCCCTCCTTCTCTCCGCCAGGCCACAATCTCTCAGCCCGCTCAAGATCCCCCGCAGCAAACAGACACTCGCCCAACGCGGTATGCACTATTCCGCACGCATACCACGTGCGGCCGCGCTCCTCGTCCGTGAACCACTCCGCCTTGTTGGGCGGAATGAGCTCTGGGGGCAGGGTCTGGAACCAGGGGTTCGAGGCCGGGGAGGCCGAGTCGGTGGCGAGGCTGAGCGCGTGGGAGGTAGCAGTTTCGGCGGCGAGCAGGTCCTTTGCGGCGGCCTTGCGCGTTTGAAGGGGGATGCTGGTGTCCGAGAGCCAGGAGGCGTTGGACTTGTTGGGAGTATCGGCGTGCTTCGCGGCGAGGGCCCGGCCGAGGGCGAGCTCGCAGCGCCAGCGCAGGCGCTGGATGGACTTGTGGAAATCTTCCGGTTGGGAGTGCAGCGTCTCCGCGCGCGTGAGATAGCCGTATGTCATCGCGATGATGGCGCTCTGCGCCTGCTGCGCCGCGGCGTCGACGTCGCGCTTCCCGCGCAGCACGTCCTCCGCGCGCTCCGCCGTCTCGCTCACCATGCCCAACCACGCCTCAGCCGTAAACTCCGCTGCCAGAATACTCGCCTGCAACGCCTCCGCATACCCCTCGAGCAAATTCCCCTTCTCGACCGTCACGCCCCCGACATTCGTCAGCAGGCGGAACAGCTCGAGCAGATCGCCCTGCACGCGCGCCACCTCCAGCGCATACGTATTCAGCACGCTCATCCACAGCTTATGGCTCGGCGCCCACGTGCCCGACGCGCGACTCGCCTGCTCCATGAAATTAATCAACCTTGGGAGATACTGCGCGGGGAACATAACCAGCGCCCTCTTCTGCGCGCTCCCCTTCTCCACGAGCGTGAGATCCATCGCATGCAGCATACACCGCTCCAGCACCGCCGGCGCCGCCGTCGCAAACAGCACGCCCGAGTCCTCCAGCATCGTCTTCGCGTGCCGCGCATCCGCGCTGTACACCTCGAATCGCACCCACAACCCCTTCTCGTAGAAGTACTCCCGCGCCTCCTGTCCGATCTGCTTGTTGACGTAGAACATGGATGTAGAGACGGGGAACGGGCGGCGCGAGGCGCTGAAGTGCAGGACGCCGTCTTTGATGGCGTGCGCGTAGGCGACGTTGGGCTGGCCGGCGTTGACGAGCTCGGTGTCGAGGACGTGTGCGTAGATGCGGTTGCGGACGGAGGGGGGCAGGTCGGTGAGGCCGAGGGGGCGGCGCTGCTTGGAGGCTGCGGCGGAGAGATGCGTCGTTTCCATTTTCGTCTTGAGGTCGGAGACGGTGGCTTCCATGGAGTCGCGCTTGGAGAGGTCGGTCATGGTGGGGTGGTTCGATGGAGGGTTTTGAGGTGTGCTGAAGGGGGAGTGTTAGTATTTATTGCTTAAGGGCGGGTTTTGAGTGGTGCTGGGTAGAGCTTGGGCGCTGGGGGGAAGGGTTCGATTCGTCGAACGGGATGGTAAGAAGCTTTTCTTTGCGAGCAATGGAAGCCATAGAGAGCCAAAAAGTAAAGATAATAAGCTCACCTTCTCTCGACAGTTCCGTAGCGTATTCGCGAGTAGATCGTTCCGTTGGATCCTGTCCGGAGTATGCAGAAGAACCGGCGAAAGCAATGCCACACAATTCACCCCAAAACAATTCCAGCGTTCAGATCAATTGAGATATTTCAAAACCCAGGATCGAGGACACAAGCATCTCAGGTACGCATTGCGGGGTTTTATAGCTGTGCCTTGAAGCTGATGATCCAAGTGCGGGGGAGAGCTCTCCACTTCCGAGCTTGCGTGTGGAGACGACTGACGCGGATCCGAACCTTGCACGCATACCCCTCGTTCGCGAATCCCAATCCGATACATCTAGTATACATTGGGAGTATGACCTGCATTAGCGAAAAGCGGAGTACTTGGAAGGTACCTGCTCTGCGCTGCAGTTCGTGCCGGTGTTCTAGCGCCTTCTATGCCATATAACCGCTCTGCTCCCAACGCGGCTACCGGATCGCTGTGCAAGATCTACTCCACGAATGCAGTGAACATCTGTAGACCGCTCGACGCCTTGTACTCCACCTCAACGCCCTGTCCGATGAAGAACACATAGCCCTCGCTCAGCTTGTGCTCCTTGCCGTCCGCCTTCATCGTGCCTTCGCCCCTGGTCACGATCATAATAGCCGGACCACCAAGCGCTTCGACAGTCTCGCTCTCTCCATCTCCGAGCTCTGCGGCAAGCATATTAAACTCGCTCATCGGCGGAGCGTAGATCTTCACCTTGCCGTTCTTGCACCGTTCGAAGGGCTTAGGGGGCAGCATAGCCTCCTTAGCGTCGTGCGGAGTGAAGGTTAAACAGGAGATAAACATATCAATCGAGTCGCGATCAGCGCGCGGACAAAAGCCCGTATTGAGGACGTTGTTGGAGCGCGCCATGCACTCGATGATGTCGCCGGAGAGGTATGCGTGGATGCCATCCGCGGGAATGTAGATGCTGTCGCCGGCGTTGAGCTGGAGGTAGTTCATCGTGACCAAAGCGACCACAGTACCGTTGTCGCACTTGTCGTACTGTTTCGCGAGACGCGGAATCAAGTCGGGAATGTAGCTGTCTGCGCCGAAGGCCTCTTTTGGCAGCTTCATCAAGGCGTCGTTTATTTTTTCGATGGCCTCGTCGCTTGCTTCGAGCATGGACTTGACGACATACTTGAGCATCTGATCATCGAAGTCGGGCTTCCTGATCTGAGGCATAAATGCCTGAAGAGGCGGCAACTTCATCAGCCGCTCAATATCTGTAAGTGGTTTGAAACCGCAGAATGCCTCGAAGTCGCCCAATGCCAGAGCAATCTCTGGCTTGTGGTTTGGATCCGTGAATTGGTCGGGATTCCGGGCGTGAAGCTTCGCAGCGAGGCTTTTGTTCTACATGGAAGTCAGCGTCTTTAAGCAGTGTGGATGTTCACTGACATACCGGATGCAGCTGCAATGGGAGGGCCTCCGCTATCGACAGAACCTTTGGCAGGTATGGAATCTTAGTGTGGTTGAACTTTTTGGCTACGTTCCCGCCAACAAGCTCGGCGGAGTGCTTGTCTATGACATCTTGGAGGTCCTCGCCAGTCTCAAGCACATAGGAAGGAAGCTCGGGATACGTGCCCATCCACCTGTCACATGTTAATACCTAACGACACGCTAGGGCAGCTTTCTACTGACATTTCAGAATACGGGGTATTCTCGTCGATCTTGAAGTCCGTCCCGGGAGTTTTCGAACATAGTGTTGCCGCGAGCGAGTGGGAGCCCTGCTTCCCCCAGGGATACTGGTTGCAATAGCACTTCAATTGGAGTACTTTGGGTACCATGTTGAGAGAGTTGCGCAATTCAGATGGTTAACAGGGTGCTCAATGGGTATCGAAAGAGGAAAATATGAAGCAGGAAAGAAGACGGGGCATTTCGAATGCAAAATATGGGTTTCGTAAAAAGGCATTTGAGTGACAGGAACTCGACGTCATAGCGGGTATCCGCAACAATAACGCCTTATCAAGAGCCAGAGCCGCAGGCTTACCGCCTTCATCGTGCTGTTGAATTTTCCGCCATCTGCCTTGGAGTCTTTTTCCTCCTGTTCATCGAGGAATGCAGTTCTGCCGTTCTTTAGCGCAGAGATGTCCTCGCGAGCACTGTCTTGGCAGAGGGATGATATCCCCACCACGCTGATAGACTGCCAACTAGCCCTGTATGGTTTCAGACGCAGTTACAGTGAGTAGAGCTTGTAGGTAGAGCGGTAGACGGGTCAGACTGGTCTGCTTCGATGAAGTCCGTCTGGCAGCGTTGAGTCGGGACGCTTAGGCGCGTGAAGTGCATGTCGGCGCAACGCCCTGTTACGCATGGTGTCAAATATGCAGCCAGACGAACGTGGGAAATAGACCACGCGACGATTCCGCGAAAGATAGGAGACAAGCCCAGGGGAGTTCGTGAAGCATGGGTCCAACCCCGTCTTTGGGGAGTGGTGCAAGGGCCCCTGCTTGGCGCTCATCTCATCCGCGCCGCGATATCGCCTGTAATTTTGCCCACCACATGTCAACTTCCTCCGTGTGCCCTTCGACACTGCCAAACACGCCGTGAAAGGCAGCCCGCCGGCACCGAATCGCTCGCATCCCACCCCCAAGCATGAATTCGAATTAGGCTGCCGCCGCAATACCCACGCCTCTCCAACTGCCATCCCTCGTTTGGCCTCTCAACATCTCCCATCTAGCCCTCCCTAGCCCTCCCGCCGCACTCCTTCTCCCGAGCATGCACTTCGCAATGCCGCCTCGAAAGACGTCGCGGCCGCCGCCGTATGCTGCGCGTAACCAGAGCTCACTACCTATTCCGCCTGCACTGAAGAACCTATTACGGAGAGATAAGGTGCGGTTGCTTGCACTCGGCATATTAGGCTTCTTGACAATACTATGGCTCTTGGGACGGATAGGCGGCCGAGGAGGCAGAAGCACTCCTGCAATAGCAAAGGTCGCGATAGGGACCGGCCCGCCGGTGGTGATAGTCACGGTGCTGGATCCCAAGGCGAATCCGGCGTGGATTGAGAAGATCAAGAAGAACCGGGAGGATTATGCGAAAAGACATGGTGCGTTCAAACAACTTCATTTACACCTCATGACAGAGCAGAAGGCTAACATGTGCGCAACGAAGGCTACCTCACCTTCTTCCCCAACAACACCCAATACCCGCTCCGCAACTCGCCGCCCTCCTGGTCGAAAGTCCCCGCGATTCGGCACGCCATGACGCTGCACCCCGGCTCGACTTTCTTCTGGTACCTCGACAGCACCGCGCTGATCATGAATCCCTCGATAAACCTGCAGACGCAGCTACTTAATGCGGCCCGCCTCGAGAAGCTCATGATCATCAACGAGCCCGTGGTCCCTCCAGACAGCGTCATCAAGACCTTCGGCAACCTGAAGGGCAACAGAATAGACTTCGTCGTTACACAAGATAAGGAGGGTCTGACGCCCACCAGCTTCATCATTCGGAACGGCGAGTGGGCCAAGTACTTCCTAGACGCCTGGTTCGACCCGATCTACCGGAGCTACAACTTCCAGAAGGCGGAGACGCATGCGCTGGAACACATCGTGCAGTACGTCCTCGCTCGATCACTGACATGTGACAATCAATATATGAAAAGACACATACTGACAGTTCGTAGATGGCACGGCACCATCCTAGCCAAGCTCGCCCTCGTCCCGCAAAACATGCTCAACTCGTATGCCTCCGGCCCCGCGAACCCGAAGCATGGAAAGTACAAGGAGGGCGATCTCGTCGCGAACTTCCCCGGCTGCGACAAGGATAAGCGGGATTGCGCCGACGAGCAGCAACCCTTCTTCGACATCCTCGACGGGAAGAACAAGGGCCAGGACTAAAACCGGCCCCAGAAGAAATTATGCACAAGGAGCCCAAGAGACATCGCCGTGTCGCAGAGAAAGGGGCAGACGTCGCCACTAAGAAGATGGCAATGGCGCTCGGACAGCGGTTTTGGGCGGGCACGACATCGCACTGGGCGAGACCGTGCGTTCGGTAGGCGTAAAGGCGTTGGTGCTGACGCATTTGGGAGCATTCAGTACCGCATTTAGGATGGATGTCTTTAGACCAGTGTAGGGAGGTCTAGTGGCTATATGTGTGTTTCGATATGAGAGAGCATTATGGGCCGCCCGGCTTCACGGAGCGGAATTCATGTACTTGGTGTTAAATGTTGGAGTTATCCGGTATCTACTACATACAGCTAATCTACAACTCCATGTTCAAGAAGTTCTCCAGCGCTCCGCTAGTATGAAGGTGGCACTGGATGAACCTGTCCAATGCGCGTACAGTAATATAGTACAGTTGAAGCCGGACACATATCGTACAACAAGCTCAACGAAGAGCCATCCCAAATTTCACTCAGCAAACGCCTTCTCTTTCGGCTGTCTCTGCCTCTTCACACTCCTCATACTCCGCCTGGGTCTCGCCCCTCTCTCCCGACTACTAATCTGCTTCGGCCCACCCCACACACTCGCACACATAGGCCTCCTACTCCCCACGTATTTGCCCAAGGGACTGAATACCTCGACCTCAGGGTAATCTCCCTCTTCCAACTCGTCCTCCCAGTTCCTTTCCTCTTCCATGTCCTCCTCCCCGCGGACCTTGGCCTCGTATTTGCGCTGCCGCTCCAGCAGCCTGTTCCGCTGCGCCTCCAGCTTCGCTTTCTGTGCGTAGTTGGGGTCCTTTTTGACCATGCCGGGGGCCTTCCAGCCCTGGGGACGGCGTGCCTGTGCGGAGATCTCGACCCAGCCCACGCCCTCGATTAGGATGTCTGTGCCCCAGATGCGGAAGGGCAGGTTCTCCGGGCGCATTTTAGCAGCCACGAGGCTTGTGAGCGGGCCGGCGAGCTTTTTAGTGGCGTCCCACTTCAGCTTGAAGCGGCCTGCTGATTTCATCTTCGGGCCGACGTCTTCGGCAAGGATGGAGGAGACATTACGGTCGCTGACCTGGGCTTGTAGGTCGATAGCCTTGTCTGTGCGGGTTACGTGCGGGTCGATGGGTACGAAGGGATAGATAAGGAAGACAAGGTCTTCGGTTACGGGCGTAATGCGGATGAGGCCGCCGCCGAGGAGGAGTGATTGGCCGGGCTTGAGGACGAAGCGCTGCGCGTTGATACGGTGCTTCATTACGAGGTCGTCGTGCGCGCTGGGCTGCACAAAGGTTTCGAGACCGGGATTTGTGCGGGCAAGGCCGGGGAGATCAATGAGCTCGCCTCTATTGCGGCCGAACGGGATGCGAATGGGGGAGGCGGTGGTGCCGGGGAGGGAGGATGCGATTGGGAGGACAGGGTAGGGTGTGTAGGGTTGCGGTGGGGGGAGGAGCGAGTCGGGGTCGAAGTCCTCTTCTTCCTCTGGTTCCAGCTCGTCCGGCTCGGGGGGTTTGTGGATGTGCTCCTGGTGTTGGATTTTCCTGTGCTCCTCCTCTGCGCCTTCTTCAGCGAGCTGTTGCTGCACTTGGGCCAACTCGTCAACCGATTTAGCGTTCTTTAGCATTTCTTCCCGCTCTGCAGCGCTCCGGATCTTGCGAATATCCTCGAAGTCGGCGCCTCTGCCTTTAGGGAAGACAACCTCGAAGAGATTAGATTTCCCGACATTGACTTTGCCCACCATCCAACCTGCGCCTCCTCGGTCCCATATATCCTCCTTGACCTGCTTCGTCCACCATCCCCGCTTTGCGCTGACCAATCTGACATTGCCTAACCGTGCCTTCTGATTTACCCTTCCAAGTGCATCCCGCAGCACCTCTTGTATATATGGCATCAAGGCATCGACCTGCTCCTTTTTCGGTGCCAGCAGATCTGACCTGGTGATTATGAAGCTGACTTCTGCGATGCGGTCGTTGGCTACCCATCCCTTGTGCTTCGCGCGGCGGTTCTTTGTTCGCAATTTCGGTATGCGCAAGGAGGATTGTAGATTGGGAACGAGGGAAAGCGGAAAGTCGGCGGCGTCGACTACATGGTATATGTGGTTGCGCCGATGTGGCGACTCAGCGATCGTCTGCTGGATGGATTCGACAGCCGGATGTAAAATGGGCGTCCCGACCCGGTGGTGGATGAGGTTATGACATCGGTCGCATACAGGAGTCTCCAGCGCGCTCTCCTCTACTTGCGTTGGCGCCTCTAGGACCTCCTTGTCGAGACCTATTTCCTCGAGCAGCTTGGGGTCTACCTGCTTGAGCGCCTTGGCATATACATCGCTCTCCTTCTCTTCCTCTACCTGTTTGCTCGGGTCGTAGTCGAGATACTGTTTCACCGCTTTCCTATCTATGTTGTAATAGCCGGCCTCCTCCTTGTCGTACAGTTGCGTTGGAGCTCCGCATCCTGGACAAGCTCGAGGGAGAGTCTGCCGACCGGGCGCAGTAGCTTCGGACTGTGTGCATGGAGGGTGTGTTTCATTGATTTCGGGGGAAGGGACGCTAGCTGCGACTTGCTGGCGCGCTCGTCCGAGAGTAGAGAACTTCTGTTGGGGCGGAGGGACTTGGACACGGCGAGCTGGATGTGCTATCGGAGGCCTGAGCAGCGCAGGGCAAAGAAACGCCGGTATGGAGTGGAACGCATTCGAGTCGCAATGCGCAAATCGGCTTGTTCGTGTGAGCGCAGTTCGCATGTCGGGAAGAATGACTTTGTGGAATCTGCAGGACCACAAATTCTGGGACGACAGCTATCGAAATCAGCTGCGCTAGCTGCTACTGGACTAGCCTCGGCATAATGCCGCAGCAAGAGCGACCGAGTAGTGGCCTTGGCATGGAGCTTTGGCCCGCTCCTTCTCCCACGCTTTCCTCAAAAACAAACGTGGAGCTATTTCTGGGGTCAAAAGTCTCAGGCCATCATAATAATTGCTAGCTGAATCTTCTCAAACTTTTCTCTCCCTCATTGTGCTTCCCCAACACCCTCAGACGACGTAGCCATCATGCTCGCCTCGTCCAGGACCGCATTGCGTCAAGCTGCGTCGAAGCAGTTCTCCGTCAAGGCTGGAGTTAGAACCGTCTCTGCGTGGTCGAACGTCCCCCAGGGTCCTCCAGTACGCTCGACCAGCCATTGAGTGCCCAATTGCTCTGCGAGAATGCTAATTGATGCCTAGGATGTAAGTTGCGGCTCATAGCAAATTGACTGACCACGGCTCACCACCGCTCGATCTGCAGGCCATCCTTGGTAAGTATGAGGCATTTGCTGCTCGGTTGGCATCTCTGACGTTCTCCAGGTATCACCGAAGCATTCAAGGCCGACAGCAACTCTGAGAAGATCAACTTGGGTATGTCCGCCGGTGCACGCCCGAGACGAACTGTGGTCGCTGACGAGTGCCAGGCGTCGGCGCGTACCGAGACGACAAGGGCAAGCCCTTCGTTCTGCCCTCAGTGAGGCAGGCAGAGAAGAAGATCGTGGACTCTGCGCTGGATAAGGAGTATGCTGGCATCACGGGTGTTCCTGCGTTCACGAAGGCTGCACTGCAGCTGGCATACGGCCCTAACTCGGCGCCTATCAAGGAGGACCGAGTGGCCATCACTCAGTCTATCTCCGGCACCGGCGCTCTGCGCATCGGTGGCGCCTTCCTCGAGCGTTTCTACCCCGGCGCAAAGTCCATCTACATCCCCACACCGTCATGGGCAAACCACAATGCTGTCTTCAAGGACTCTGGGCTGAAGGTCGAGAAGTATCGGTACTACAACAAGGACACCATTGGCCTTGACTTTGAGGGCATGGTTGCAGATATCAAGGCCATGCCCAAGGGCAGCATAGTGCTGCTCCACGCCTGCGCACACAACCCGACTGGCGTTGACCCCACGGAGGAGCAGTGGCTGGAGATTGCCAATGCAGTCAAGGAGGGCGAGCACTTCCCCTTCTTCGACATGGCATACCAAGGCTTTGCCAGCGGTGACACTGACAAGGATGCCTTTGCTCTGCGGCACTTCATCAAGGAGGGTCTACGTCCGGTTCTCGCCCAGAGCTTCGCAAAGAACATGGTAAGAATAGCACTTGCAATATAGCCGTTAAAGCGGGTTATTAATTATGCATGCAGGGTCTTTATGGCGAGCGAGTTGGCGCCTTCTCCGTCGTCTGCGAGTCGGCCGAGGAGAAGAAGCGGGTCGACTCGCAGATCAAAATTCTTGTGCGACCGCTCTACTCCAACCCTCCGATCCATGGCGCCCGTATCGCTTCCGAGATCCTGAACGACCCGGCTCTGAACAAGCAATGGCTCGGCGAGGTCAAGGACATGGCTGACCGCATCATCACCATGCGCGCCCTCCTGAAGGAGAAACTCGAGAAGCTTGGGAGCAAGCATGATTGGAGCCACATCACCTCCCAGATCGGTATGTTCGCATACACCGGTCTTAAGCCTGAGCAAATGGAGGTTCTGGCCAAAGAGGTAAGTGAGCGATGTGCCTCGTAATCCTGATTTCACCGTCGATCCCCAGACGCCTAGTTCCTGGCGCAGGCTGACCGCTACCACAGCATTCCGTGTACGCTACCAAGGACGGCAGAATCTCAGTCGCAGGTATCACCAGCGGTAACGTCAAGCGCCTCGCCAAAGCCATCTACAAGGTCACTGGATAAATGTCCTGAGGACGGCACGGTCTTGTCTTGCTCCGATTCGCACTGCGTTGGCATGGCATGGCGTAGCGTGCACTGTATACCACACTGTTCAAGTACGCATACAGACGACTGCGGTTAGACTGTACATGTAGACGGCGGCCCAAAATTTGACGCATCTTCGCTACCGCTATCGTTCCTCTATCCAGCTGGCGGAACTGAACTGTTCCCATGACTCAAAAGTGGACTGCAGGGCAGTGTAGCAGTAGCTGTGCCGACTGCCGTCTGGCTCTGCACATCCTTTGCCTACATCCTGCCCCATTGGTCATAATTTTTCTCATCAATGTGACGATAATCCTTGCCTGTTCGGGTATATTCGTGCATCGTTGCGGGTCCTAGCTCTAGCGTTCCAGGGTCCTCCCGCTTAGACCTACCGCTCGTGTGCCAAAAGGAAGTGCGCGGGGCAGAAGAACCTGACATCAAGGTGCATCTCTAGCTGTGCGAAAGCCTAGATACGTTCTCTCCTTGGGGGTATTTGACGTTGGTGATCTTGAAGCCATGGCGGTTCCACATTACTCGTTGCTCGGGCCTCACGGCGGCTGAACAAAGTTTGCTCTCTGGACCCTCCAACTAGCGGGGAAAGGCGCAAATTCTCCATCCATGGCTTGGCAGCAGCCCAGCAGCCCCTCTATCCAGACCCCGAGGGTCCGATCCGCGGAAAGAGTTTCTTACCCGCAGCAAGACCCCGGCGCTTCAGGTGAGGATCACGAAACCTAGCACAGCTACGCGACTTGATCAATCATTGTGTCTGGATTCGGAGCTGGCCGGATGTGCACTTATTGACTTGCATCGTGCAGGTTTCTGCGCGACGGAAGACGTTGCTGGCCTGACGTTCACGGGACGCATACGAGGCTTAGAGGCCTGTAGCTTGTTCAACGTCTGCCAGAGACTTGATCAATGCAACCGTGGGCTGATACCCCCATAGCCATGTGAGGAGCACGTCTTTGTGGAGAACTAGAGCGAGTTTCGCCCGTATACAACCCTTTGGAGCACGGGCGCCAAACGCAGGGCCTCAAGCCAACGCCCGCGGGTCCGGAAATGCGACCTACATGTGCCATATGCACGGTGACGACGGGGTGCGCCATTGACGTAGACGTACATCCCCGGCTGATGCTCACCATTCAAAAACATCCTTCGAGCCCAAAGGGGACCACACATTATGTCGTCTTACCCTCCCGAACTCCTAGCAGGCGGGAGGCAGCATTTTGGACCGCTTCCAGGCCGCTTGGCACACGACTCTTTATTCCAACCTGCCATGGTGGCCGAGCGGGTGTTTCTCCACCACGTTTTCTTCCGGCGGGGACAAAGAGAGACCGCTGGCTCCATCAGCCGCACGTCGTAACCGTGGGACGCCCACCCTGCCATGACAGTGGACCGGGACTCCAGCAGCAGCCGGGCGCGTTGCGTTTAGGGAACCTATGATGTGGTGCGAGTGACCTTCGCTGTCCGGCCGAAGACGAGCCGCTACACTGAACGGCTGGTCCACGGTGATGTGCCGGGAGGGCTGGCGGTTGACGTCGAGCCGACCCCACCAGAATTGCGGTTGCTCGTCATCGCCGCCCCTCATCCATGGTGGTGCATACATAGGCCCAATTTCGTCAACCGCGGCCCCGTATATGAGCGGGATCCCCGTGACAATCACTGCCAGCATTGCTTCTTCTTATCTCACCGACAGTCCAGCCCAACGTCCGTTCTGCCTCTGGCGGGACAAGCATTGGTAGTCCTGCTCCCACTCGGCACCCTTACTCCGGACGGCCTGCAAGCTTGTAGAGCGATCCGGTGGGGGAGCAGACTGCTCCGAGCTGGGCGGCCGTAGAGAAAAGCGCCGGGCTCGCAGCTAAATACAGCGTGCCTGCCCAACCTTCATTCGACACCAGCTTTCCGCTTTGAGTTGCCGCAACCAAGTTGAGGCCTTCTTATTTGACGTTGGTGCGTAAGAGAGAACGGGCCGACCCTTCTTTCGTCATCGCGCCAGTCCCAAACGAGCCTCCGTGGTGAATCGGCCCAGGCGCCGGTCTCTCGCGTGGACCACGATTCGACAGGCGCGACCGCAATATTAGACGCCGGGGCGTCCTCTTTGTCGGCGCCCGACTCATCTCGACACATCACGCGGTTGTCGCCGGAGCCGCAGCGTGTCGCGCGGAGAGGCTTCTCAGTGACAGGGTTTCTAAGCATAGCGTGGGAGGGCCAAATATGGCTAGCGCGAATTCACAGGACGAAGACAGGGTTCGTGTGCCCCTCCATCATCCGCGCAACGTTGTCTCCCCGGCGTGCCTGCACCTCCTATAATCACCCTAACATCTCTACTGCCTGCTCGTTTCCTGTCCCCTTTGTATCCTCGGCGCCCTCCTGTTTCCTCTGCTTGCGAGCAGCTTCTAATAGCGCAAAGCACGGCGACGAGGGCATCATGTCGATTCCCGGCGCAAGCGACAGCATCGACGCGGCCACCTTCGAGCAGATCCTCGAGATGGACGAGGACGAGGAAGAGAGGGAGTTCAGCAAGAGCATCGTGTACGACTTCTTCACCCAGGCCGAGAGCACCTTTGGCAAGATGGACTCGAACCTGTGAGTGCCCGACCGCGCACCGCATCAGCCCCAAACATACGTTGTGTATAGTTCGAGACACGGCCCACATATGTATTCAAGGTAACTACGCTGACGCACCGCAGCGAGCAGAAAAACCTCCGCACCCTCTCCGAACTCGGTCACTTCCTCAAGGGTTCGTCCGCAACCCTCGGCCTCACAAAGGTGAAAGACTCGTGCGAGAAGATCCAGCATTTTGGCCAGAAGAAGGACGAGACGGGCACAAACGACATCTCGGAGGAAGAGGGCCTCGCGAAGCTGAAGACGACGATTGAGCAAGCGAAGCAGGAGTTCTACGATGTCGAGAAGGTGCTCAAGAAGTTCTACAACGACGAATCATGAGGCGTGCGAGGGCCGAAACTGGAGCTCTATCCTTGAGCGATTGGGGAACCCTGCAGACACTGGCAGCACCTTTTCGGGGCTGCGGAGGTACGATTGCTGAATACGACGCGTAGATGCAGCCCTCCAGCGCCCTGAATAGCGCGTTTCTCACAATATGATCACGATGGCCAACTTCCTTTCCATTCCCGAAGTTTGTTCAAATTCACATCTAAGGGTTGGTGCGCAGAATGCCCCCGCCGTTGTGCGGATGTTTGTCTGCATTGCTTGCGAGGATTGTGGGAGTTTTCCATAGCCAACGCCGACAGCGGTATGCACTCGCTATTGAGCATCAGAGCTTTCGGAGACAGTTCCGTCGCTTTGTGAATCGTTGAAACACGTAGCCCTATGCATATGCATACACATACGGGACGACCCAGGCGCACGAGTGCGACACCTGGGCTCCACGTTTTTGGGTACCCCACAAAGTGCGGCGTTACGTCATTGTTGCGCATGAGCACAAAGTTGTGCAACGTTTGTGATTGGTTGCACAATTCTTGGTAGGAATGACACCATGCCATGATCGTGAACTTCCGTGTCTGTCATTGAAGTTGGGTTCGTAGCATCGCTCTTTCACTGTTAGTTGCTCTGCGCTTTCAACCTTTCTCTGATTCGCACTAGGTAGATACGGGGCCTTTCGTAACGCCTTCTTTCTCAGGCTGAAAGCCAACATCTCCTATGGTCGTTGCTTCATTGACCTGTCGAGCTGCACTTGGACAAACGCGCGGTAAACCTGCTTTTCCAAGACGCACTCCATTCAGTCCCCACGCATATATCTCCGCTTTTCCGTCGTCTCTCGTCCACGCATTCGTCGTCTCTTCACACCACCCATCCCTGCACCACCCCGGAAGGCACCGGCTCCACACATCTTCCACCAGTATGGGGAAGAAGAAGGACAAGGCCGAGTACAACGACTTCCTGGATGGCGAGAAGCTCCGCGACAACGCCGATGTCCGGACCACATTACAAGGAAGCAACGCGTTAACAGGCGATGTCTCACCGCCACCGCCGCGCCGAGACAAGAAGGGGAGAGGGAAGAAGGGCAAAGGTGGGCCGAAGAAACCGCCGCTGACGCATTTTCTTTGCCTGCCCCTGGTCAGTGACAAGAGCGCGGAGCAACTGGAAGCGAGTCTGGAGAAGCTGAGGGATGAGCTGCGGAGAACCGAGCTCGTGCCGCTGGAAGCTGTCAGGCCGGTTGGAACGCTGCATCTCACGCTGGGCGTCATGTCTCTGGACGCTGAGCGCTTGGGAGCAGCGAATCAGTGTCTACAGGGTTTCGACATCCGCAGTCTCCTCCGAGACATCGGCGCCCAGAAGCTCGCTGAGAAGGCCGCGGAAGCAGGCACCATCTCTGAGAATCTCGGTGCCGCCGCGTTTCCAGACACAGAGGCTCTGGCTATTGACCTCAAGTCCCTGGTCCCGATGCAGGCACCGCACAAGACTAGCATATTGTACGCGGAGCCGAGAGATGCGTCGCAGAGACTGTATCCGTTCGGTGTAGCGCTGAGGGACTATTTCAGGGAGAAGGGGTTCTTGGTGGAGGATAAGCGGGCGTTGAAGTTGCACGCTACGATTGTGAATACGATTTATGCGAAGTCCGCTGGGAGGAGTGGGAGGGGGAGGGGGAAAGCGGGGAAGCATAAGGAGAAACATGTCGAAGAGTCCGCGGAGTCAGTTGTAGTAAAGCAGGACGACAAAAACGACGACGACGCTGCATCAACAACCAACTCCCTTCCAGACGCGGACCCAGACGCAGATCCCGAACGCGACGAAAATACTACAGCTCCACTCGAGCCCTCCACTGGCGAAACAGAAGCAAAAGCCGCGGAAGAACACATTATTCGCTCACAAGGGCATGGGCCGAACGCGAAGAGCTGGATGCGATTTGATGCGCGGGAGCTGGTTGAGCGATGCAAAGACTTTGTTTTGGCGGAGGGGGTCGTGATTGATAGGGTCCAGATCTGCAAGATGGGGGCGAAGAAGATTCTGAGAGAGGATGGGGAAGTGGTGGGTGAGGAGTATGAGGTTGTGGCCGAGAAGGTCATATAAGAGCGGAGAGAAGAAGAGGTTTGTGTGATACACGAACGGTTCGGACCTTATGAGTGAAGTCTCTGCCCCATAAAGGATACGGTATCTACGTATAGGAATCCCTATGGTGTCGTGCAGCATACCTCCCAGCACGCTCCAAGCCACTCCCCAAACCTACAACCCCTCACTCCCCCCTTTCCAAACTCCCAATCTCCGCCTCCACTCGCTCAATCTCGCCCCTCAACCACACCTTCCTCCTCGCCAAATCCCGCATCCCCTTCTCCCCCGCACCCCTATACAACTCCAACTCCCTCCTCGCCAACGCCTCTCGATCCCTCAACCCCTTCTCGCTGGCTCCCTGCTCCGCCTTGAAGTTCTTCAGCGCAGCGACAAACTCCGCCGGCGGCGGATGCGTGTGCGTGTGTATCCTGGCCTGCAGCCCGAGCAGCGCGGCGCGCGCATGCAGGTGCTCGGCGCGCGATTTAGTGGTGCGCGTGAGGGTGCCGTGTTGCGTTTGCTCGAGGATGCGTATGGAGGTCTGCAGGAGGGTGCGGTGGGTGGTGAGCACGGCGTATGCTGTGTTTGCGAGATGGAGTTTTGCTTCTGCGAGGTCGGCAGGGAGGGCGGTGGTAGCGGCGTCCCGGAGTTTCTCTGCTCGCGCGGGGAGGGCGTCAATGGACGGGGGATTCTTGGGATCGCAGATGGTGCAGAGGAGGTCCGCGATGGTGGTTAGTTGGGTGGAGAGCGCGGCGGATATGGTGGGGAGGTGGGAGAGGAAGGTTTCGATGTCGGCGGCGAGGATGGCGCGGTCTGAGGGGGGAATGTAGCCGCTTAGTTGGGCGGTGGCGAGTTCGATTACGGAATGGAGTTCTGGGGGTAGGGAGGTGGCTTTTGAGGGCAGGTCTGAGAGGGTTTGGATGAGGGTGCGGGAGGTGTGGAGGTTGGTGCGGAGAGTTGTGAGGTTCTGCTGTGGTGTTAGCATTGGAATATCAGATGTAATAAGAGATGGGGGGAGTGCAGAAAACGCATGCGACTTTTTGGTTGAACGGTGCTAGCTCCCGTGAACGAGCATTGAGCCATCATATTGGTACGGGGGAGAAATGAGACATATTCTGTGGAAACCCAGTGAAGCCTTCCAAGAACATAACATCGCACAGAATCTGATCGTGTGCATATGCAGACCAAGCGATGAACAGAAACGAGAAAGCGCAATGCCAAGAAATGAACACAGTGTAAACAAACCTGAAATAAGTCTACAAAATTCCAATGACAAGAGATGAAAAAGGTAAGTATACAAAACGTAATAAAAAGGAAATTTCAAACATCTTACCCGCCGTATGTCATCATGCATGCGCTGCTTTTTCCTCTCCTGCGTCGAGCCATCGGGGTTGAGTTTCCGGGTGCAGAGGTCTTTGTAAAGGGCTTCGAAGTTGGGGTTCCGCTGAAGTACTGCAGAATCGACGGGAGGAAGCATGTTTTTCGTGAGACAGGAAAACAGATTTGGCGATGGAGTGGATGAGGATGATGAACGGGTGTTGACCGTGTTGTGTTGCGGAGGGGGCTGCTCCTAATAGAGCATAGTGGCTTGGCACACAGCGCTCCAGCACCCTCGTTTCGCATTCCAATTCTTACCTCCAACGCTACCCAGTCTTGTACCTTTTTACAAGTGGGTAGGCTATCGCTACTTCTAGATGCCATGGCAATGGTTAGCAGAAGTTCTAGCTTTTAAAACAACATCACAAATGGTGCAAGAGTGAGAGCGAATTATGTATTGAATCAGGGGCCAAAGCTAAAGCCATGCTAGGAGATTCATTTGAGACCATTGATTTTACTGGTTAGAATTGCAACTAGGATTATCGATGCCATACTGTAGCGTTTCTACAAGATCATACAAGGAGCTTAGCATAGCCAGCAGAGTCGGGACAGGCTGTGACGAGATGCGAACGGATACGCCATCCTCCATATCAGCCTTGCGCTTTCTGAACTATACTCCGTGACATCATCTCCAATCCTTTGTATCTTCCATCTGCCTCCTCAGAGGCTCAGAATCCACTAGCGTTCAGTATCAGACCCACAAAAAGCTGCAAACCGCTCGTTGCGCAAGCACTTCTCCACATCCTAAGCCCGCCCAAGACAACAAAGCCGCGGGCCAAGCGGCGCGGTCAAAGGCCAGGAGGCGATTATGATGTAGAAGCAAGCTTGCGCCAATTACAAGCTCGTCAAGAAAGTACAAGACAAGTCGCAGTGGAGATATGAGGCTTGATCTCCCTTCAGATAGCACTCGCGTAAGGCGGATCTCTGGTCCGACCGTTGAGCAACTAGTTGCACGCGTGGAAACGTGCTAACCCAGATGCCACGAGGCTCAGATGTGCCTATGGTGCTTTACCCGTGGACCGGTCAAGAGTGAGATCAAGGCTAAACTCAAGTTCGGGGTGCGCGATCCATCACGATGGGTGGTGGCTCTGACGTCATACGCTCGTTGAACCACCGACCTGCAGCGTACACGCCACATCGATGGAATCCACGCAGAAGAGATCAGCGATGGATAAACGCTGAAACTTCGTTTCTCCGACGTTGTCCTTTGTGGAGATGCAGAAACTCAGTATGCGAATTCAATCAACGAAGTGGAATGGTGCGCAGGATTGATTCTCGCGATCTCCCTCCGGCCTAATATCACTCAAACCGCGAGGCCAACGAAGCTAAGCAGGAGAATACGGCGGCTTAGTCGTTCTTCGTGTCGATTCCCCAGCTTATTCGTCTTGGCGTTTTCTTGCTCGATTAGGCCCCCTGCTTTGACTGCCTCGCATCGTTGCTCTATCCTTACAACGATCTACATGTGACATCATAGTCTCATGTCTCCCTTCGCTGCTTCAAGATCAACTCTAATATCGTCTCTGCCGTCTACAGACCTAGAATGCGGACTACACTTTCTATTTCCTCGTCAAGCTTTGGATTGAGATCTCAAGCCCATTGCCAAACCCAGAGAACGAGGCAACATCGGTCGAACAGCTCGCGAACAAGGGTCTTGGGAGGTCAAGAAGCATCTGACGTGCCGCTTTTAGCAGCTCGGCTTTGTGCATCCGCGTGCGGGCACTTGGCCGGTTAACGGATCGGTTGGCCTTGAACGTAGAGTTGGGGCCACACAAGGCCGTGACCGAGCGTCAGCGGCTGTGCGGGTACTTATCCATCAGCATTCCGCGTGTTTGGCTTGGTCGGACTTGTCCTAATCCTACCATTACGAGTGGCACTCTTCCATACCGAAGCTGTGCTACGAAAGGACACACACTGAAGGTGAGCACATTAACTCTATGCATATATCAAAAGCTGACGTGCTTCAGCTTCGGTAGTAGCAAGTACACATCAAACATCCACTATGTCTACCGAACCCAAAGCGGAGGAGCCGGTGGAGAAGCGCGAGACTTCTCCGGATTCTCGAATTGAAGACCGCTCCCACAAGGAGCGCGGTGCTTCCATCGGAGCCAGTACCTCGCACCGGCCTTCAGTCGCCCAATCAGCGGCCGAACGTGCTCGACGCAACATCAATGCTAAGCTCGCAAATCCCCTCCAAGGCTACAGCTACAATGAGCTCCAAAAGATGGGCCGAGCATACGCATACGAGCATGCTCTTGCCGAGAAAGACGACGTCCGAGCCTTGGAGATCGGGGCTTGTTTAGCTCGAGATCCCACGAACCTAAAGCATGTGAAGGAGTTTGGAGTTACCGATGAAGAGCATGCCATCTTGGAGAAGGAGATTAGTCATCGGTGGTCGCAGCCCTGGATCCTGTATCTGGTCATCATCCTTTGCTCAACTTGTGCTGCAGTTCAGGGAATGGGTAAGGTTTATGCCTCTTATCAAAGGAGTTCGTTCTCACACGGCCGCAGATGAAACCGTCGTGAACGGAGCACAGCTGTTCTACAAGGGCCAATTCGGCATCGGTGGCGACGACCCTCGATCAACTTGGCTTGTTGGACTTCTGAATAGCGGTCCTTATATCTGCTGCGCCTTTATAGGATGCTGGCTCACTACTCCGTTCAATAATGTTTTCGGACGGCGAGGAACGATCTTTATTACTTGCCTCTTCAGTGCTATTGCCTGCTTCTGGCAAGGCTTCGTCAACGTATGCTCCCTCAACCAAAACCCATCAACCGCCCAAGCCCTAGCAAATCTTTGATGCTAACTAAGGTAGACCTGGTGGCATATGTTCGTCGCACGCTTAGCACTTGGTCTCGGTATCGGCCCTAAATCGGCCACTGTGCCCATTTACGCAGCCGAATGCACTCCTCCGGCGATCCGCGGGTAAGTTTAACACTAAAGTATTATTCAACTCTAATCTATGTCCTCAGAGCACTCGTCATGCAATGGCAAATGTGGACTGCTTTCGGCATCATGATTGGCTATGCATCGGACTTGATCTTCTATGGCGTCCCCGATACGAACAACATCACAGGACTCAACTGGCGCCTTATGATGGCCTCCGCAATGCTGCCTGCTGTAGTGGTCTGCTGCTTTGTCTTTATGTGTCCCGAATCACCTCGTTGGTATATGTCCAAGGGAAGGCATGCATCAGCATATCACTCTATGGTAAGGCTACGTTATTGCAAGGTTCAGGCAGCCAGAGATCTGTTCTACATGGCAGAGCTTCTGAAGGCGGAGGAGAACATGAAGATTGGGCAGAGCTTGATTAAGGAGTTGTGGACCGTGCCTCGAAATCGGCGCGCTTTGCTTGGGAGTGAGATAGTTATGTTTATGCAACAGGTATGTCCGCCCCCATTTTACTGGTCTTTGAACATGGCCTCTGACAGCTCTAGTTTTGCGGCGTCAACGTGATTGCCTACTATTCGTCCAGTATCTTCTCAGACTCCGGATTCAGTGACCAGTCTGCCCTTGCCGCCTCCCTCGGCTTCGGTATCATCAACTTCTTATTCGCTATACCAGCCGTCTACACGATAGACACTTTCGGCCGCCGCAACCTGCTGCTCACCACGTTCCCGCTCATGTCCCTCTGCCTGCTCTTCACCGGCTTCTCTTTCTGGATCCCGGATGGTTCCACTGGCCACGTCGCCTGCATCGCCCTCGGTATCTACCTGTTCGGCATCGTGTACAGTCCGGGTGAAGGCCCTGTACCGTTCACATACTCTGCGGAAGCGTATCCCCTGTACGTTCGGACTATTGGCATGTCGTTGGCTACAGCGACGACATGGTTCTTCAACGCCGTGCTGTCGATCACGTGGCCGAGCTTGCTGCAGGCGTTCAAGCCGCAAGGAGCGTTTGGATGGTATGCCGCGTGGAACATCATCGGATGGGTGCTCGTGCTGCTCTTCATGCCCGAGACGAAGGGAAAGACGTTAGAGGAATTGGTAAGTGTTCCCCCCGTCAGCCAGCAGACAAGGCGCAAAAGATGTGGTGCTGATGCAAAGGTAACAGGACCAAATCTTCTCCGTTCCTACACACATTCACGCTGCCTATGGCTTGCGCCAAGTGCCGTACTTCTTCAACCGCTACATCTTCAGGCGTAAGGTCGAGCCCGAGCGTCTTTACGAGCGGGAGTATCATGACGAAAACGAGGTGGGAGGCGATATGAACGTCGTCTAAGATTTGAGCGACTCCCACTCTCTAGGATTTGATAGGAACGGCGGATGTAATGGCTGCAGGATCGGCTTGGGGGAGGTTTGGCATTATGATACCCACTATTTCGTTCATTTGCGCGCCTATTCGAAATTCGGTCGGCTTCCTTGTATGTATTTATTCTGAGACTGGGAAGTTTTGTATTGCTCGACGCTACCGCGGCGGTACGGTCGAACTTGTAGACAATCGTTCATTTGTTGTCATATCTGACTGTGTCTATTGGTCGGGAATCCTCAGCCTTGCCCCTCACGCTGTGGAATTCTCCGGAAAGACGACGTGCGTAACAGCCACCCTGGAGGCATTCACAGCTGCATACAAGGCCAAATAAGCATGCACGACGAGCCCTTAAATCCGGAGAATACCCTACCACAAGAGCCTGCTACTATGCTGCCCTCCTCCTCCGTGCCTCGGCGCATTATTGCTCCCTTCGCTTTCCACCAATTACCAGCGGCCACGCGTTCCACGAATGTGTTAGGCTGGGCTCCTACCGTAAATTGCGCTGGTATCGCTCCCATTCTACCTATCTAACCATCACCATCACCTTCACTCACCCGCCTCTCTTCCACACAACCCACCACACAACCACCCTCCCCGCAGTTCTGACATGAGGCCGGCAGTTCCGCCGAGCAGGGGCGGGCCAGGGGGCGGGGGTCAGTCCAACTGCTTACTACTATTATTCAACGCCTTCCACTCCCGTTGTGCGTCTAAATGGCCATGCACTGACGTGTTGGAGAAGACTGCCCTCCCATGGAGGGTCTACGCATTTCGGAAATTACGCCGGACGAACCTCAGCCGAGGGGTGAGTCCGTCTGGCCCTCTGGCGGCGCTCAAATTTGTGCTGATATGCTGGAGATCCGGGCGCGTATGCAGTGGAGGACGAGGATATAAGGGACCGGGAGACACGGCCTGAATGATAGGCGCGCGGTAGATACCTTTTTCGGCATGAAGAGGGGGATCCGGAGTGTATAGACAGAGATTCTGAGATCTTTGCGCTGGGGTTGTCTGTTCCCTCGTTTCGGTAGCGTGACAATGCCAGCCGGTGGATGTTCTCGGTCGCGGTAGTGTTTGAGCGGAAAGCTAGATGTGCGTGCTAGGAGAAATGTAGACAACTCAAGTCAGAGAGCAAATCACGGTCCTTCAAAGCATCCCAACGATCTCATGAACTCGTAATATTCGCAAAAACACATTGACTATTAGACACTAAAAGGCCATGTCGGGATACTCATAGCATGCTCCTGCGTTTCGCCAGCTTCGCATACTGCCGCTGCGTCTTCGTGTGTCCATCCTCCAGCTCAAAGTCCGTTTCCACGACGCTCGCGGGCCGTAACCGCGTCTGATCCTGCGTCCTCCCAAAATGTAAACCCCGCTCGCGGAGTTTGTTAAAGGGCGCCGTGACTCCGCCAAAGAAGCCTGTACCGCTGGGCTTGGCTGGGTTGGGCGCATGATGAACATGCACATGAGGATGTGCATGGTGCGAATGATCATGGACGGGATTTTGTCCGGGCTCCATGTAAAGGTGGTCTCCTTCGGTATTAACGAACCAATTGACTACGTACTGCTTCCCCTCGGGCCCCCCGCCGCAGGAGCCGGCGAACAGGTGCGAGGGAGGCGAGTTGACAGCCAGGGCGAAGAGGTTCGGCGGTTCGCTGAAGTCTGTGACGAGACCTTTGTGGAAGAGGAAGTAGATGAGGACGAAGATGTTCATCAGGAAGACTAGGAGGAGAATAACTATCCAGCCTTTAGACACGTTGTCGACGCCGCCAGAGGCATATTGCTGCGCTTTGACGGAAGCATTGAAGAATTGAGTTTGGTACTCGTCGAGGTTGGGGCGGGTGTAGTTCCAGAACATGACGAACGGCGCATCGATCCACGACATGAGCAGCGTACAGCCACTCATGACGGCGAGGGCCTCTGCCGGGCTGGGCAGCGCAGGATTCAAGTCGATCTCTCCCTTTGCGTTCTCGTGTAGGATCAGCTGCGTCAACAATCGGGAGTTACTCGCGTTGCCGTCCATAATCCCCGTGTTCAACGACATGCTATTTGCCCAATCAAAGCCGACATATCTCCAATTCAGGACGCTCTGCCCTTGCGTGGCGTTCGTCATGCTCTTGATGTAGGCCATGCCGTCGTTCTTATCTTCGCAAAGAGCTTCCATTGTACCTCCAGAACCGGTGACGTTGTACCGGGTACTGCATTCCGGTGTCATATAAACGCGTATTTTGCAAAGGACGTATGTACCGTTTAGGTTAATGCCGTCGTCCATTGCGCCACCGCCGCCGAGCAGGTATATCGAGTCTCTTCCCCAGTAATAGCTGGTGTGGTTCATGATGGTATTGAAGGCGTTGGGATATTTCGCAAAGACGGGCGGGTAGTCAGTGAATGCCTCGCTGTCCCTCTTGGTCCAACCGAAGATGTCATCTACGACGGTCTTGTTTGCCGTCGTCGCGATTGCCGAGAGCGTAGTCCACGAGTTTATGTCGACATCTTCGCTGTTAGGCCACGCAGAGTACACGATAGGTGCCAACTCGTCTTCCTTAAGATTGGTGCACAGTACATTCAATACTGGGCTGGGCACGCTAGCCCTCAGAACGTAAGTGCCTTCAGAATTCAGCTCCTCAGGTTGTAGGATATCGTTCCTCTGGTCGCGGGCAGCTGCGAAGACACCTGAGTGGGGCATCGCTAGAGAAACGTTGTTCACTGCGCGTTTGTGTTGCTTGGAAACCTCAATGGTATCAATGACGTTGACCCATTGAGCCGTTATGGTAGTATTCTCATGCAAGAGCCCGAACCCCGGAGGTCGGTTGTGCTGGTCTGACGTCCCATTGCCGTACCTGGAGGCCTGGTTCCAATATGAGAGGTAGCGCTGATAGTTGTGATATCCTTGACCTGCATGCTCAATCTGAAGACACGTATTGCCGGCGTTTTCTTTGTCCATGTCGAGCGTAATAGGCGTTTCGCATATCGATTGGAGATACTTGATGTTGGCAACATCAGTCTTCACTCTGCCTGCAAAGAGTTTGTTGTCCCAGTCACCGTCCTTAAGCATTGGTTGCACTGCCCATTCGGTAAGCAATGAGGGTCAAAGGGGTTCAACTGGTACAAACCCAAAGCAGTCGCGGCAGGCGTATAGAGAGTTGCTAAAATTGCACTCAAAAGGCTGAGAATGCCTAACACGGATAGACCTGAGTACCGAGCTGTCTCGAAATGAGTGATAAGCGTCCCAGGTTGAACTACCTTGAAAGGTGACGGTACAATTAGCAGATATTCTAGGCGGAGGAGGAGGGAGTTAACACTTTCGCATGTCTTAGGTCATTACCTGCTGAAGGCCCCCAGGAAGGGCTTTCACAGTTCAAGGCTAAGACATTCTAGTGTGTACCGCGGCCTACGTACCCAGCGCCACATGCTCAGCTCCGATAGGGTGACACCGCGCCCCTGCTCCTTCATAAAAGCCCTTCGACTAAGCACCTGGCCAAGGAAAGCCACGAATGATGTGACAAACGATAACTCGATAAGTTTTGCCATGACGGAAGTGAGTATAATGGCATCGGAAGGCTTGAACGAACCCTGGCTGGTTATCCTTCGCCCGTATCTCGGCGCTTTCAAGGCGAGGCCGAGGAATATGCCGGAGAACACCGTGGAGAAGAAACATATTATAACTATGGTAATGGAGATCCACGTGAATCGAGATTGGTAGAAGTCCTTTGCGGTCGGGCATTCGTGGTTGGGGCGGAAGTTTGCTGTGCAGTGATTAATGGGCGATAAGATATAACGACGGGAGAGAACTCACTCTCATAAGCAGACTTGATGGACGTGCCTTTGCGCAGCCTTTCGGTATCGGAGGAATGTAAGTATTGCTGATAATCATCGTTGAGGCTGGTGCTGCTCTTTGTCGCATTCTTCAGCACACCTCGCCTGTAGTCCTCGTATTCTCCTCCTTCGTCTCTCGGACTGTACCGCTCTCGCCTCAGATCCGGTGTGCTGCCCGGTGAATCTTTCGGAAACCCGCCTATGAATGGGTCGCCAGTGCCCGGAGGACTGAGTGTGCTTGGGCTCTTTATGGGCGGGCTTTTCGGGCCGAATGCGACAGGACGTCGCGGTATCGTCTGTATAGACACTCGCCGACTGTTCGCTGGGGGCGACGCAGGGCTGTCAATACCTAGCCCCGCCGCCGTGCGCCGCCTGAAACTGTCTGCGATATCCTCCTCATCCTCCTCGTGTACTGTAGAGGGCGTATTCCTCTCGACGGCAGTCGCATCGCTCTGCAGGCGCTGGTAGCCCGGTCGCGAGGCGGGCGGGCTCGACGGCGGCGAAACTTGGGCAATTGGGCTGAATCCGAGGGAATGGGAGCCGGAAGAGAAGCCCAGCGACGGCAATGCAGGCGTGTTGTTCGCTGTATCAGACCCTTCTGATGCCTCGTGGATGAGTGGCCGACGGTCGGCCATTGCCCTCCAGTGGGGCTGGAGACGCCCCGATTCAGCCTTTCGTAACCGCCTGGCCTGGGCGCAGCCGATGGATGGCCGATGGCTGCGGTTGTGAGCGTCAGCTCGCTGTCGGTCCGGGGCCGAGATATCAAGCTCTGCGCCGAGCTCTGCAATGCGACAATGACTTCGATCGCGGGAGGCGGCAGAACGGGAAGCGGCAATGGAAGAGTTAGAAGGCTGGCCGCGCTTTTAGCCCGCAAAGCAAGGCTCTCAGGCCTCGACCAGCGGTTTGCCAACCTTTCCAGTTGCCGCTCGCGTTCAGCTGCAGCTGCCCGTGTGGCGTAGCTATCGGCCCCCAACCACTCCCGCGACCGCACCTTCGGCTCTCCATCCTCACCCACTTGGGACGAGGCAAGCTGAGCACAGAATCGTCATCCATCGGCGCATTTGTCAGATAGGGAAGGTTGTACGCCTTCCTGCGATGTCGGCGGCCCGTCCCTGATCTGATGATCAGCACGGCGGACGCCCTGCGATGCGATTCGATTTTGCGTCTGACATCATCGCGCACAGATCGCAAGCAATTCGACGACTTCCAGTTGTAGAGAACGGAGCGATTCGTGTGTCTGTGTCAGGTCAGGCGGGCAATGGATGAGCTCAATGCAGGTTGCGACGGCATGGTTGGACTGGACGGCTGCGCCATCATGTAATTTGGTTCACTATCAAAGCTACCCTGCATACATTCGACAGGCTGAGGACTAGAAACAAATCAATTTTGTAGTATCATGTATACTAAAGACCTCTCGATTGCCATGTCTCCCTACCCAATATTCTTGACATGGTTGTCCACAAGGCACGTCCAATCTGCGCTTCCATAATAGATGGTATGCCCATCGTTATGCGTTTGCTGTCCCGTGCTTTGGATCTTATCCCCTAGCTGCCAGAACAAATCGCCCGCCATGCCATCGTTCCTCAGCGAAAGACTCTTCTTCTGCCATCCGCTCTCCACGGGGCAATGGTCCGCCGCGTTCGTGACACCGTATTCCTCAAACAGACACGGCTTGTTGAGCTCTTTACAAATATTTGCATGAGCGGCGACCCAATTGTCGCCGAACGCCTTGTCGTTGCTGACGCCCCAGGAATCGACATACAAGTGGAAGGTGCCGAAGGAGATGTTGGGGAGCGCAAGATTCGCCCGCCAGTCGATGCCCTCGCCATATTGATACGGGTACGTAGTGGCACCAGCGAGACCAAAGCCTTCGTCGCCAACGGTGATCATGTGGTCTGAATCGAGCGAGCGAATGTAGTCTGACGTCTTGCGGATCCAGTCTGTGAGCACTGACGTCTGGCAGCCATTGCAGCGCGGCTCGTTCGCCAGTTCCCACGCAAAGACAGCGTTGGAGTTCCGGTACCGAGACACAACGGCCTTAATGTAGGCTTGATACATAGTCTGGCACTTGGCGGCTTGATACCATTGCGCGTTGCTGCTGACGCCGCAGGCGGAGTAGTAGGCTGCCATGCCACCGTAATCCGTCCAGTTGTTGACAAAGTTGATGATGAGCTTGATACCGTGCTTCTCTGCGGCTTTGACGACCGCGTCAAGGCGCTGCAGACCGAGAGCGCCAGTGTTGACGGATGCGGTGGAACCAGAGAAGGATTGGAAGTATACTTGGCCTGACTGAGGAGACTTCGCATCGTTGAACCCCCATACTCTGAGGATTTTGTGGCCAGAGGTCTCTAGATGACCCATAATGACGTCGACATCGTTGTCATTGGTGAGGAATCCAATCCAGTAGCTGTTCGTGCCGGCGTAGTCTGGAGCGTTGAGTTACCGGTGAAACGGTGGACCAGAGCTTAGCTTACACTTTGTGACGCCGTCAATGTTGAACTTGGTTCCATCAGCTTTCGATATCGAAGCTCGGGGCACTACATCGGTTGTAGTCGGCAATGCCGCTACCGCAGCGGCCAGGGAAAGAAGAGCAGTAAGCTTCATGATGGATTAATGGTGAGTGTCCGCTTCGATATAGCACAATTGTACGAAGGCTGGAGACAATTTTATAGGAAGATATTCACCTAGCTCGTGATGCACTATGCGTCAAGCTACACGGACGATCTGCTTCCGCTCTAGATTGACATAGGTGGAGTATAGCTAGCTGGGCACCGGGAAGTCTCCCTAACTGGCAAGGTTTGATAGAGGCCAAGAGTCTGGTGAGAGGAGAACGTGGAGGCGGCTGAGGGTCGAAGATTTCTGGAAGCTCGGCTCCAGGAAACACCCCGGTAAACGGCTTGCGGAGCAGTTGTCTTGCTTCAGCGGATTGTACCTGCATTTTCGTATGCATTGCCGTTGGTCAGCCTCTGGTACCAGAGGGCATTCATGCGTTGCGCTGACAATTTTCTCCGGAGGTCGAAGGAAAATTTTCGACAACCTGAACCTCCCTCTACTGGAAGCTGCTTCCGTACCGTATAGCATATTCCTTACTTCATCCATCTCTTGATCAAGCGTGGCGTGTCTTAAGCCGGTCGTGAAATGGTCCCATATGGAATCGCAGGCTCCTCCAGTGATGACAGGAGAGAGAGCTCCGTGCCCAATTTGGCAATTTGGATCTTGTGGAGAGGCGTTGCAATTTCTCCGGCGTGGAGCCAAGGGCTGTTTAATATATTCATAGTAGGGCTCGACCCGGAACATCAGCGAGATGACGGGAGGCTAGTACAGTTGCTCACGCCATTGGAGCTTGTCAAAAAGACGCCAGCTTGATATAGTACAGCGTAGCAGCGTGCGGTGCCGTGGCTCTGAAGGTGTGTCAAGTCTTGAAAGAGGTGGAGGTGTGAGGTGGAGGACCGTGCGTTATCGATAAGGTACGGCAGCCGATAAGGCTAGCGTCGGCTCGAATTGCCTCTCATCCCATCCTCAAGGTTCTCACTTCTCTTCCGTTGCCCCTTTGACACTCACTACATTGACGCGCCTCGTCAAAAACTTGTGACGGTTGTGACCTGCGATATCTCACCACTTCTGCTGCAGTTTGGCCATCCGATTGCTTGAAATATATTGCCTGATCCCGTCGATTCCCACCACGGCTTGCATTTGACCATATTATGGACATGCACTGCGCACTGAAATCGAAGCCCGAGAGTCCAAACACAATGTCGAAATATCATGATACTAGGAAGTATGCTTTAGCCCTGCAGAACCTCTGCAATACCGGCGTTTTGGGAGTCTTGAAGACTTCCCTCTAATCTTCGTTGCCTCACTTACCCCGCCATTCAGCTGTCTTAACATAATACGGTTCCATTCTGTCATACTGTCCGAAGCGTCCAGCCTTCCTCGGACACGTGTCTCCAATCCCTGACTGCTGCAGAAAAGGAGGGCGTACCCAGTGATCCCGGCAATGGATGTCTCGCTTTCTCATGTCCGTCCCGCTCCCCGGCCATTCAGATTAGCCTCCTTCACACCATCATGCATCCCATCTGGCTTAACGCGCCGCTTGCTTCTCATCGGCGGATGGCTTAAAAAGCTTATCTTGGTCTGAAGCCAGCAGGAAGATCGGTTGTGCATGCACCCTGCAGCACTATAAGTCGCGACTCGTCTCTCGTGGCCTCTGCTCCGTCCCCGAAGGCACCTGCTTACAACCGTCTCCCCAAAAGACAGAACCACGCACCTCCCGAGCCCTACCGCACCGCACCAGACACGTCACACAATGTCCGCTGATCCGGAAGCCGCCCGCCGAACGGCAGAGGCTCGTGCCGCCGTGACGGCCTCACTCGCCTCTGTGGGTAACTCTGTCGACAATGAGATGCGGACACGAGCGGCCGATCTCCATGCCAACGCGGAAGCCATAGCAAAGCAGGAGAAGGAGCTGGCGAAGCAGACAGTTGCGTTGGCCAAGCAGAGCGCACAATGGCAGAAGATGGCGGACACAAGCACCAAGAAGCTCAACGAGATTGGAGATATCCAGAACTGGGCCGAAATGATTGAACGAGACCTGGTGGTCCTGGAGGAAACTTTGCGATTGGTCGATGGGAAGGCGGTCCCTGAGTCTGCCAGTGGTACGAATGGTTGGGCGGAATAGACGCCTTCACCGGAGTGCTGGTCTAACCTTACAACAACGTCAGCGCACCGCGCGACTACTTCCCGCATCTTCTTAAAGGAAGGCGACTCCTCTAGCGACTATCGGGGTTCTCTGCGCCAACACATGGGCGTTTTCGTTCGCAGCTGTCGTTCGCCGTCTGGTAGAATGGACAAGAGCGCAAAGAGCCAGCTCGATATTGACGCGATCAGCTGCCTGAGATATGTTGAAACATGACACTGCATGATGAAATAACGTTGTATGCTGCAATGGACAGTGATATACGTGATGTTGCGGCGATTCCTTGGACCGGTGAGCGTTGGGGGGCGTGTGCCGGTGAGGTTAACGCAGGAGGATGAGAACGACAGAAGCTTCTAGACGCATGCTCCACGACGACAGCCGTGGCTGTTGGCCGTTTAGGGGCGGTACCTAGGTAATAATCGCCCTTTCCCTGAGCTGTGTTGCTGTGATGCATCTGCAAGGCTGGATGTGGATGGAGGCGGCAGGCTGAGCTTGGACCGCCTCGCGACTTTCGGTCATTGCTCAAAGCTAACGCGGAATACATTCGAAGCTCAATCGACGAGCAACAACACCACTTTCTCCCGCCACCCCACCTGCTGAGGCTGTCAACCTCTGTCTTTGGTTCACACTGCCCCGCCAAGGACTTGCTGCTATATCTGCGAGAACCGCGCCTGCACCGCGGCTTCTTGCGAGGTTGCACCACTGTCAACGCCTCGTCTGAAAACCTTCGTCCTGCACCATCCTCCACATTCACCGCCCCGCCTTCACCTCGCTGTATTTGTGCTTGCGGACGTTAGCTCCACGAAGCACCTGCACACCTAACGGCCTAAGTTGCCCCCCCACCAATTTCCCTCTTCCCGATAGAAGCAACTTGGCTCCACACGACCGGTAAGCTTCTACTGCCGCCGGAGCCATCCTCGACCATTCCCGAAATAGCCGAGCGATCAGGAGTGGGTAAACAGATCGAGCGGGAAACACTGCATGTGAGGGAGGCTCGCCTTCCGAGCGCCCGGAGGAGCCATGAAGATCAAGAAGCAGGCTACCTCGAGACATGAGTCTACTCTGGTGAGCACCCACTACTCCCCTTTGCCATTAAAGCGCTAACCCCCGCCAGTCTCCGATGATAGCAGATTTCGTGCAAGCAACGGCATCGATACCGCTGTACCAGATACCCGCCCACGTTGCCTCGTTCCCTAAGCTATGGCCCTTCCCCCGCGGAGACACATACCACTGGATACCGGTGCTGAATCGGTTCGATCGCATACTAGAGCGGTTCAATCAGGAATATGGACTGGTAGATGGCCCTCAAACTCAGCCGTTCGAGCGGCGCTTGCTGCTGAAGGGCGATGCGGAGGAGGGCAGCACCCCGGAGCCGGCCACCGCCGACATCCTCGATGAGCTAAACATACCGCAAGAGGGCGACAGGGTGCTTATTGAGCAGATCCTCAACTTCACACGGCTGCTGCTGGAGAATTGCGGCAATCGGAGCCTGTACTCGAGCAGCGCACACCTGGACAAGCTCCTCAACACCACTTCCGTGTCCCTACTAAAGGCCACACTCCGCCTGACACTGCGTCTTGCCCAGCGTTACCACGCGGCGCGTATGCGACTCGCACCGGCGACCCTACATCCTACTCTGCTCGCAAGCCACTACAACATCAATCTCGACAAGGTCCAGAAGCTAGCCGGTCCCTTTCCCAAGGGCTCCTCGACAGCAGCGCCGCTGTTTGCCACCCCCGCCGGCAAGGGAAAGGACAAGGTGTCGGGGGAGCGTCGCAGCGACACTGAACGGGTCAATGCGGCGGATATGGTCGGTCTGTTTACGCTCCCGGAGTCCTCCCTACAGCAGGAGTTTGGCGGAGTGTCCATATCCTACTACGAATCGTCTGCCGCACCTGAAGACAGCGCGAACAAGCCCACCGCTACAGAAGGCCCCGCCACTCCAACGCCGGTGCGCCGAACCTCGAACGTCCGCACTCACCAGACACCGCGGCAGCCGCACGAGTCCACCTCTGCAGATTCCCCGATCACACCTGCCTTCACTCCTGGCGATGGCGGGGGTGGCCGTCCGTCTGGTCCCAAAACCTTCGAGCTACCGGCGGAGACTGTGTCAAAAGGCGACTTCCATGGACTATTGAAGCAAGGACTCGCAGAGCTTCCCGAGAGTGCACATTACGAGCTGCTTCACAAACTGCGAACTGCACAGACAGTGAGCTTAGGAAGGACCGGCCGCGAGCATGTTGTCAGCATCCGCATGCTCGCCGTCGCCAATCTGGCATACGTGCACAGCGAGAAAGAATTCCACGCGCGCCTGGGCCAGCAAGATGCCGACGAGCCACGTCGCTTGCAATGGGCCTATCAGTTGTCCGAGCTGGTCCATCCCCCGGGCACTGGCGGCGAGGCGGTGTCTACAGAGCTGCAGACATTCGCTCTAAACGCCCTCGAGGCCTTAGCCAAGCACAAGGCCAAGTCTGCGGATATATGTACTGCTCTGAGCGTCAACGTTAACCATGGTGTTCTCTTCTACATCGTCCGTAAGATGGTTGCAGAACTGGGCGTCGACGACTCTCAGGACAACCTCGAAGAGGATGAATGGCGGGAAGCGCTCTTCTCCCTTCTGAATACGCTGCCGACGTCTCAGGCACGAACCGGAGAAGGCATGGTGGCGGCCGGGCTCCTGGAGATCTTGGTGGACGTCCTCAAGCTTCGAACGAACAAGGCAGAACGCAACCATCCCAAGATTCTTAACTTCCTCGACACATTCGTGTACAATCTTCGGGATGCATTCCAGGCACTTGTTGATGCCAAAGGTCTTGACATCATCGCTGACCTCGTATTCTACGAGGTTACCACTTCCGAAGAGCTTGCGAAGGAGGGCCAAGGAATGCCAAAAGAGTACAAGACTCAGCTTACCGACTATCAGATTCCTTTCTACCATCAGCAGACTCTTCGCTGGCTATTCAAGTTCATGAACCACATGATGTCGCATACGGGAGGCGGCAACTTTGATCGCCAGATGCGCAATTTGATCGATTCGGCAAATCTCCAACGCGGGCTCAAAACCGTACTCTCGACCGCTAGCGTCTTCGGCTCGACTGTGTGGAGCATGGCTGTCAACATCCTGACAACCTTCATTCACAACGAGCCAACCAGCTATTCAGTCATCAACGATGCAGGGCTTAGCACCGCGCTATTGGAGTCGGTGTCCGGAGAGAAGCTTTCAGAGTCTCCAACAATGGCCCCAAGCGAGGATCTCGACTCTTCGGATCAGGGCTCCTCGCTGCCACAGCCCTCTCGTGTGTATCCGCCGCGTGACCCGTCTAGGCCACTCGCTTCTGGTATTCTACCCGTAGCAGAAGCTATTTCAACTGTTCCGCCTGCATTTGGAGCCATTTGCCTTGCCGAAGCTGGGATGAAGCTCTTCCAGTCGTCCACCGCACTCAAACGCTTCTTCGAAATTTTCGAGAGCCCCGTTCATGTCAAAGCCCTGGACATGGATCCTGAAATTCCAACGATAATCGGAAACGCTTTCGACGAGCTCGTTCGCCACCACCCACCATTGAAGGGTCCGGTGCTGTCATCTCTGAGCGAAATGGTTGGACGTGTCGTCCAGCTCTGTTTCGACAAAGCAGCAAAGGATGGCGCTGGGGCGAAGCTTTGGACGGGGGCCGGGGACGGGAAAATCTTCGTAGCAGGCGGTCGCCAAGCGCTTGCTGGTCCGGAAGGCTTTGTTCACAAAGAGCTGTGGCACCGTACAGCGACTGACGGTGACGTTGAGATGCAAGATACAGATGGCCACTCTGCTTCTAGCTCAACGGATGATGCGGTTACTCTCGAACAAGTCATTGAGAACGAAGACAGCACCAGTGGTCCTACCACGAGCCAATACATCAGCGTCGTCTGCCGCTTCCTTGGGGGCTTCTTTACGAATCACGCGATGTGTGGCGCCTACATCGAAGCGGACGGCGTAGAGTCGATCCTCGATTTCGCTACGCTACCATGTCTCGACGCTAGATTCAACGAGTCACGCACCACGAGCGAAGAGTTTGCGCGCGTGGTCCAAGTGCTTGTCGAACAGAAACCGCACATAACGGTTCCCTCCATGCTGAAGCGCACCCAGCAGGCTTTGGATCACCTGGAACCCTTAATGCGACATACCGGAAAGCAAGCCTTCTTCGCCCCGTTCACCAATCCGTCGGGAATTCAAGCCTCATCGGAGGAAGAGCAAACCTTAGCGCGCGGGACGGAATATGTGAAGGCGCTTGTTGCAGTTCACACGCTTGTCAATGCTTTGACGATGACATTCCAAGGCCAGATGTTCAACACTCGATCGACCCACAATGTCTCCAGTCAGGTCAATCTCGCGGACATGTACGCACGGCTTGTCGATAGCTTGGGCCGACTGCATCGGAGCTGCGTCTGGGAGGAAATCCTTCTTCAGAAGAACATGCCACCGGAGTGGGAGAAGGAGACGCGTATCAAGAGCTCTGGCTTTGGTGCGATCGAGGCAGATAATGTCTTCCACCTTGGAAACAGCGACAGGCCTTCCGAATCTACCGGTGCATCAAACAGTGAGGGAACCACGGCTGGTGCTACCGCCCCATCGGACAACGCTGTTGCTCCTAGTCAGCACAGCGCACGGTTCAAGAACACGCAAATCCTGCGGTACCTGCTAAGCAAGATACCTACCGGAATCGCGCCATTCTTCCAATCGCTCGGCAAGCTCCTGCTCTTCCGCCGTAGCCTTGAGCCCTATCAAAAACAATGCGCTATTATAGTCGCCGATCAGCTGGCGCAAGCAGCCATTGATCAGCTTCAGTTTGAGGGACCAAAGGCGTCAGAGTCCGCAGAGGATCGATACGCATACTGGATCGTCATTCTGACATCGCTGTCGCAGTTGATGATTGATAACAACATGGACCGGGTTAGCCCTCAGGCATTGACATTGATCCTGGTCTCTTTCAGGAATCTTGGCGGCTTGACGGTCCTTGCAGAGATACTCAGCACTTTCTTCGAATCCGCCATGAGCATTGTTCGGACGCAAGGCGATGACGCCGGGGAAGACTCTCAGCGGCTCCTCAATCTATCCCTGGGTGGCGTCAAGATCATTCTGGCATTCTATGTACAGATCATCAACGCCAAGGTTATCAACGAAGCCAGTCAAACTACTTCGATGCAATCTCGCCCCGACCGCGAGCGTGAGCGACCTGATTTTTTCCTCCCTGCACAATTCATTGTCGAGCTGCGTTACGCCGTCACCAAGCCGGTGCAAAAGATCTGGGACTCCGATCTTATTGACAAGGCCACTACTTCGATCGTTAAGACGTCCATCAATATCCTCAAAACGGTACTGGATGGAGACGGTGAGCATGGTGCCTACAAGAGCGTGGACAAAATTCCGAAGCGTAACAAACCCATCATCAAGCCGTGGAAACCGCGCAATGAGGATCATATGCAACGCCTGAAGGAAGCGGGCCACTCCGAAGGCCTAGCTGAAGAGGCTCTCTTCCGGTGTTGCGATAACTTCAACACAGCGCGGGAATACTGCCAGAACCAAACGCGCGACATCCGTGCTTCGCGAAACCCCATCCCACAGTACGAGATCAACGCACGTGGCCCGCCAACCGCATCACCGAGCAGGGCAGAAGTCATCGTACCGGAGCCTACTGATAATGCGAGCATTTCCAGCGATGATGAGGGCGAAGATTCAGAGGCTCCTGACTCGCAGTCTGTGGAGATGGAAGATGCAGACACATCGCAGCCGCACGATCCCGCCCCAACCACCCCTGTCCCCGAAACCCAGTCCGCAACGGATCCACCTGTCTCATCCCAGGATGGTCTGGCATATCAAAAGCGAATGGCTACTGGAAATGTTGCAGAACCGGTTGCGATCGATGATCTGGACAAAGAACGTGCCACCATTCGGGAGAATTTGGTAGATCGATCCCTCGACATCCTCAACTCTCATGACGATGTCACGTTCGAGCTAGCCGACCTGATCTCTGCGGCCGTTGCCAAGGCCCCAGACCCGTCCGCTATGCGCGGAGAGATTGGTTCCACCTTGGTACAGTCGCTCATATCGCTGCAGACGGGGGATGATTTTCGTGCACAGGGCAAGAAAATCGCTGCATCTGCGCATCTCCTTGGTCTCATCATTCAGGACAAGGATTTCTACGAAGCGGTTGTAGACGAATTGAAGGAGAACTTCCTGATGCTCCTCGAATTTATCAAGGTCTTTCCGGATCAGCCAGCTGAGGAATCATCGGCGTGGGTTGGACATGTGCTTGTCATCGCCGAACGATTGCTGGCGGAAGATCAGCTTCCGCGCCAGATTCAATGGACACCGCCAACAGTTGACGCGCAGGACGAAACGCCTGTTGAGCAATTACCGGAGCCAATTGTGAGCCTGGATGAGAAGAATCATCTATTCGATGCTCTCTTAGAGATTCTCCCGCGCATCGGAAAGGATGAGTCGTTGGCGCTGTCGGTGACACGTGTCTTGGTCATGCTCACACGCACTCGCAAGATTGCTTTGCGCCTCGCAGAGCGTCGCAACATTCAACGGCTTTTCCTGATGGTTAAGCAGCTTGCTGGTATCACGAACGAGAGTCTTCGAAGTGCCTTCATGATCGTTCTGCGCCACATCATCGAGGATGACGCAATGATCCGGCAAATCATGCGGAGCGAGATTCAGTCTATGTTCGAGTCACGCGATCGGAGGCAGACTGATACGACTGGATACGCACGGCAGATGTACTACTTGGCCATCCGTGCACCAGAGATATTCGTGGAAGTTACGAATGAGAAGCTGCAGCTCGCACGTTTCGACCCGAACCAGAGGCCTCAGACTCTCGTTCTCAAGAAAGACGAGTCTCCTGCCGCAGAGTCAGATTTGCCTGGCCCCTCAGGTACCTCCGGTAACACCCCGGAGAGCGATCGACCGAAGGAGACAAGCGAGCCAGTCGAGCAACCTGTGCTAGAGAGAACGAAAACTTCAGACCTGAAGCCACCCGTTGTCGAGAATCCCGATGGCGTCATTCATTATCTCTTGTGTGAGTTGTTGGCCTACAAAGAGATCGACGACAAGCCGGAGCCGCCGAAGACTACGGAGAAGGCCGACCAAACCACACAGGATCAGCTATCGGCGCCGGGTTCAGCATCCGTACCGTCCAGCACAAACGCCGAGCAGCAGAAGACCGAGAAGCTGGAGTTCAAAGCTGACGCCCATCCGATTTATATTTACCGATGCTTCATTCTAAAGTGTCTCGCTGAGCTGCTTCAGAGCTACAACCGCACGAAGATCGAATTCATCAACTTCTCGAGGAAGGCAGATCCGTATGCCACGACTCCATCGAAGCCTAGGTCTGGTGTGCTAAACTATCTGTTGAACAACCTGGTTCCTGTGGGCAGTCTAAACCATGAGGGCGATTTGTCATTCAAGAAGAAACTGGCCACGTCTAGCTGTGCGATCGATGTAATCGTCTCCCTCTGCGCTAAGACCGGAGAGCAAGGCGCTCCAAAGCAAGGTCTAAATCCACTCTCGCCGTACGTGGAGACGGAACCGGATCTTCTGTTCGTGCGGAAATTCGTTCTCGAACATGCTCTGAAGGCTTTCAGGGATGCTAGCGCATCCGACGAAGCTCTAGAGATGAAATATTCGCGTCTTCTTGGTATCGCCGACATCTTCTCCAAGATGGTGTCTCAGCGCCCTAACGGGGAAATGCTGAATCAGAACTCGGATCTCACTCCAACGCTCAAACAAATGGCGAAGATCATGTACGAGAAGAATTTCATCACGATTTTGACGACGGCCATAGCAGATATCGATCTCAATTTCCCGAACACCAAGCGGGTGGTCAAGTACATCTTGAAACCACTTAAGTGGCTTTGCTATGTGGCAATGGACTTGAGCACGCGTTACGATACTTCATCAACGCCCGATTCCACCGATGAATATGAGATTTCCTCGGCATCCGATGATGACCTCGTGGGAGCTACCCGCGAAGAGACGCCGGATCTATTCCGTAACTCAACCTTGGGCATGTTCGAGCCAAGGAATGGGTCCGATTCCGAGCCCTCCGATGACGAGGAAGACGAGGAAATGTACGATGAGGCATTCGCCGATGACATGGAGTATGATGAAGAGATCGGCGACAATGACGAAGTCATTTCAGAAGATGAAGAGATGGAGATGGAGCTAGGTGACATGGGTCCTATTGAAGGGCTACCCGGCGATGTCGACGTTGAAATCGAGCTCGACGAAGACGACGAAGACCTTGGCTCCGAAGATGACTCCCAGGAAGATGATGAGGACGATGGGGAGGAGGATGAAGATGAAGATGAGGGAGACGATGATGAGGGAGATGACGAGGATGAGGATATGGAGGAACTGGGAGATCTAGAAGAGATCACCGGCGACGATGAAAATGCCAGCCTCGCCGATGATCGTGAGGATAGCTGGAGCGGCGACGACGGCCACTTCCCCGGCGACGGAGATCCAAATATGCCTCCAGGTGCTCTAGGCTTCGTGCTTGACCCACCACAGTTGCTAGAGCAAATCCGTGAAGATCGGTTAGATGACTTCATGGACGACGACATGCAGGAGGACGAAGGTAGGTTCAGTCGCCATCACTCACCAAATTGCGACTAACAAGATACAGATGACGAAGATGACGAGGATGACTTCGACGACGAGGACATTGTCTATAACCCGGGACTCGAAGACGACGAGGATGGCATGCATGGTATGGGCTGGGGCTGGGATGAACCAGGACCGCCCGCGGGTCGTCATAACCACAGGGGATTGAGCCCATGGATGTTCCCCGGTGGACCCGATAACCGCATTCTTGTGCCAGCCTATAGGTCGCATCGACCAGGCGCGGGCCCGCGCATGACAGATGACGGAATAAATCCGCTCCTCCAGCGTTCCGGTCGATCATCTGCGCGGAGCGGAGACTCATCGTATCCTGCTAATCAGGGTATGAGCGACTGGGTGCATGCAATTGAAGGACGTGGGCCTCGTCTCTTCCCTGCCGACAGTCCTGTATCCTTCATCAGCAACCTCTTGAACGCCATGAGTCATGGAGCGCTGCATACCCACAATGGTGCGCTGCATGTGTCGATCAACAATTTCCTACCTGTGCCGTTTGATCCAGGATTCCGCCGTGATACGCGCAATAGGGAGAATGCATTGACACGCTCTGTCCGCGAGGATCCACAGTCTTCCGTCGCTTTCTTGAAAGCGTACACCCATCAGCGCTGGCAGGAAGAGGCGAGGATTCTTTACGGTCCTAGCGCCATTGAGAAGAGCCAGCGCGTTATCAACTCTATCCTCAAGCTCATGGTTCCTCCGGCGATGGAGGCAGCTAAGAAGCGACAAGCGGAGAAGGAAGCCGAGGCCGCGCGCAAGCTCAAGGAAGAGCAGGAGCGGAAAGAACAAAAGGAACGCGAAGAGCGGGAGGCTAAGGAGCGCGAAGAACGCGAACGACAAGAGCGTGAGGCTGCAGCAGCCGCAGAAGCTGCCGCTCGGGCTGCAGAGGAGAACCAAGAAGGACAGGCTACAGCGGAGCCTAGCAGCGCTTCCGACGCTCAGGCAATGGAGGGAGTAGAAGCGGCTCAGCCAATTGCGGAGCCGACCGCAGAATCCGGACCTTCAGAATCCAGGCCACGCATTACCACGAATCTTCGTGGGCGCGAATTCGACATTACCGATCTAGGCATCGATCTAGAGTATCTGGAGGCCTTGCCTGAAGAGCTCCGTGAGGAGGTCTTGATGCAGCAGATTGCAGAACGACGTGCCCAGCGAGCCCAAGATCGCCCAGAACAAGCCGGCGGACAACTACCAACCGATATCAATGAAGAATTCCTAGCCGCCTTGCCACCCGATATCCGCGATGAGCTGCTCCAGCAGGAAGCCCAGGAACGTCGACGAAGGGAACGCGAGGAAGCGCGCCGACGTAGCCAGGCTAACGGTCCGCCACAGGCCGAAGACATCGACCCGGCAAGCTTTCTGGCTTCTCTAGACCCCGCCCTGCGACAGGCTGTTCTCATGGATCAAGATGAAGAGGTGCTGCGTCAACTACCACCTGAGATATCTGCGGAAGCCCGGGCATATGGAGGCGATCGTCGCTTGAACCAGTTCAACGATTACCTTCCCTCAGGTTATCGCCGTGGTCTTGACCGTCGCGCCCCACAAGACGAGCAATCGCAGAAGAAGAAGGCCCGTCCGTGCGTGCAGATGCTAGACAAAGCTGGCGTCGCAACATTGCTCCGCCTTATGTTCATTCCCCAGCAGGGCAGCGCCAAAGCGAGCCTCACCCAGATTCTGCGATACGTCTGCGAGAATCGACAGAACCGCGCCGAAGTCATCAGCATTCTTCTGTCCATCTTGCAAGATGGCAGTGCCGACGTCAATGCCGTCGAGCGTAGTTTCGCCCAGCTATCCCTTCGCGCGAAACAAACACAACAAGTCGCAGATAAGACGCCCAAGATATCGCGGAAGAACGGAGCCTTGTCTATTAACTCCGACGTTTCTCCGCTCATGGTTGTTCAACAATGTCTCAATACTCTGACGCAACTCACCGAGAAGAACCCTGCCGTTTGGTCGTTCTTCCTAACAGAGCATGAGACAGGAGTCGGCTTCAAGAGCCGCGGCAACCGCAAGGGTAAAGCCAAGGAGACTAAGGCCACGAAATACCCGGTCAATGCATTATTGAGCTTGTTGGACCGCAAGTTGATCATTGAGAGCTCTTCAATCATGGAGCAGCTGACCACCCTTCTACGAGTCATCACTGTTCCGTTGCAGGCACTAAAGAAGGATAAGGAGGAGAAGGCCGAGGCTGAACCCAAGAAGGATGGAGCTGTAGCTGCATCCTCCGGAGAGCAGGCTACCACCACTGAACAGGGCGCAGCGGTATCGCAGCAAGGCGAGGATACGGAGATGCCCGCTCCACCCGAGCCGAATCAAGCAGACGCTCCCAAAGAAAGCGAAGGTAGTTCGTCAAAGCCTGACTCTAAAGCGGAGGACGACAAGAAGAAGCATCGGGCTCTTTCACCCCCGGAAATCCCAGAGAACAATCTTCGACTTGTGGCTAAGATCTTGGCTGCCCGGGAATGCAATAGTAAGGTGTTCCAGGAGACCTTGACTGTCATAAGCAACCTGTCCCCGATCCCAGGTGCAAAAGAGATCTTCGGCAAAGAGCTACTCGGTATCGCGCAGGACTTGGCTCGGTCGACATTGAAGGACCTCGCGGACCTCGCCGTCCAGGTCTCTAATGCATCATCGCCAACCGATGTCCAGGGTATTGCCCTTTCGAAATTCTCACCCGCCAGCTCCGACCAGGCGAAACTTCTGAGGGCGCTGACCGCGCTCGACTACCTGTTCGATCCCACGCGTGACAACAAGGAGCAGACTACTGCCTCGAGCGCAGACGCGCTTGAGCCAGCGCAGAAGGACGATATACTTATCACTCTTTACGAGGATTCTGCGTTTGCACCTCTCTGGGACAAGCTTAGCGAATGCTTGACCGTCATCCGCCAGCGCGGCAATATGCTCAACATTGCTACAACCCTTCTCCCACTCATTGAAACTCTGATGGTTGTCTGCAAGAACACGACGCTGAAGGACGCGCCGTTGAGCAAGATGCTTCCGAAAGAATTTGCGCTTTCCAGTCCTCCACCAGAGTCTAGGATGGAGAATTTATTCTTCCGGTTCACCGAGGACCACCGAAAGATCCTCAACGACCTTGTCCGCCAGAATCCCAAGCTCATGAGCGGCACGTTCTCGCTACTGGTGAAAAACTCGAAGGTTCTGGAATTCGATAACAAGCGCAACTACTTTAATCGCAAAATCCATGCCCGTACGCCCGATCGACAGCCACATCCCCCGCTCCAGCTGGCGGTTCGCCGAGACCAAGTCTTCTTGGATTCGTTCAAGTCTCTGTACTTCAAGACTGCGGATGAGATGAAGTACGGAAAGCTCAGCATCAGATTCCATGGCGAGGAGGGTGTGGATGCTGGAGGTGTCACCCGAGAGTGGTTCCAAGTCATCGCTCGGCAGATGTTCAACCCAGATTACGCCCTGTTCATTCCCGTTGCATCGGACCGAACGACCTTCCACCCGAACAAGCTAAGCAGTATCAATCCGGAACATCTGATGTTCTTCAAATTCATCGGGCGCATCATTGGCAAGGCACTCTACGAAGGTCGCGTGCTTGATTGCCACTTCAGCCGAGCGGTCTACAAGCGCATTCTGGGTCGGCCAGTCAACCTCAAAGACATGGAAACTCTGGATCTAGAGTACTACAAGTCCCTTCAGTGGATGCTCGAGAATGACATTACGGACATCATTACAGAGACCTTCTCCATCGACGTGGAAGCTTTCGGCGAGACCAACATTGTGGACCTAATTGAGAATGGACGCAACATCCCCGTCACTGAGGAGAACAAGCATGAATACGTCCGTCTCGTCACCGAGCATCGTATGATTGGCTCTGTTCAGGAGCAGCTCGAGCACTTCCTGAGGGGCTTCCATGATATCATTCCAGCGGACCTCGTCTCTATTTTCAGCGAACAGGAACTCGAGCTCCTCATTTCCGGCCTTCCCGACATCAACGTGGAGGACTGGAAAGCCAACACCGAGTACCACAACTACACGGCCAACTCACCCCAGATCCACTGGTTTTGGCGCGCTGTCCGGACCTTCGATAAGGAAGAGCAGGCCAAGTTGCTGCAGTTCGTTACTGGCACGAGCAAAGTTCCACTGAATGGGTTCAAGGAGTTGGAGGGCATGAATGGCTTCTCCAAGTTCAACATTCATCGCGACTATGGCAGCAAGGATCGTCTGCCATCGAGCCATACTTGCTTCAACCGTAAGTCTACCGTGCCTTCTTTCCCATATTTCGCACATTCACTAACATGATACCAGAGCTCGATCTCCCAGAGTACGATGATTACGAATCACTCAAGAAAGCGCTCTATACCGCCATGACCGCTGGTGGCGAGTACTTCGGCTTCGCATAAGCCACCCTCCACTCGGTGGTTCGCCGATATCCTTTCAAATTGTGTACGTTTGCCTTTCTTTCTCTGTTTATGATTTCGCATTGCAGGCGCCCTGGAGGATTATGCACGCCGGGTAAGGCAAAGGGGTCACGCATGCTATGCTATGGTCTGCATTGGGAGGATCAGATGGGTTTTCGCCGTGTGTATGAGTAAATAAAATGGTGGTGAGGTGGATGGATTAGGCGTTGGGCGGTTCCTGAGAGTGAGAGATGGCATGGGTGGATGGTGTGTGTGCGTAGCATCTTTTCCGGCTACGACGGCGGTCCCATGGATGGAGGATTTCGGGAGTGCAGGCCTGCGTTTCCTCTTGAGGTGCGGGCTGTCTGTGTGTGCTGGTGTGCTTGACGTGGTTCATTTTGGAGTCGATAGGGGTTTCTGAGTAGATAGTTAGAATGGGCTTTTCTTTGCTCAGCGACTGTGTCGAGCGAGTAGATTTGTGATGTGGGAAGTTTGACTGTGTTCGTGAAGTGGCCAGAAACGCTTGTACGGGGATATCGTTCGTGCTAGCTCGCACGGCAAGACTCTCGCGCGTGTTTGGGCGTCGGTCGTGGATGCCCAAACGCCGTTTGAGGACGTGGGACTCAGAGCAGCCAGCGGTTGGAACTGAGGCTATTAAGCATTTTTGTGCTGGTGAGGTGTCCAAATTATAAAACAGGAGTCAGGGTTGAGGTTCCACCGCAATAGGTATGAGGCAAGTTTTCGGAGAGTGGTTGTATGATGCGCACGGGGAGAAACAAAGGAGTAAAGTTCAAGGAGACAGCGCAATTGTTCAAGTGGATCGAAAGGTAGTATAGAGCGAGTGTGTGTATTGATATGAAACTAGTTCCCGTTGGCAGGCCGCCTTTGTGGTGTGCGCCAGGGCGCCATTTGTTGCAGCTGTGTTCCCATATAGCGCTATGTGCCGCACGCTATTGCATAACCATAAAGGAAGAGTAGAAATCAAAGGGGAGGTAATTCTACACATGCTTGCTGCAATACGGTGAAGTCGTCTTTTTGGGTGATGGTGACAGGAGTGTTCCAGACGGGGGAGGACACGAGCAACTAGGGACGCCGATATCAATTTCAGCCAGAACCCACCATCCTTAGACTACCCAAGTTTCGGCTTCTTCTCGGCAGCATCTGAGGTGGCACCTCCGAGTGCGCGCTTGAGGTCCGCTTTCACGATGTTTGGTTTCGACTTTGCGACGAAGATCTGGGCGTCAGACCCCTCGTTAGAAAGCCATAAATAGGCGTACGGAAAACCATCTTTGAAGAGGTCTTGATGGGTGACGGATTCTGGAAGGGTTAGCTTTTCTGAGAGAAATAGTAAACGGACGTTTTCTACGCACTCCATCCCTTCGGCGGTGGCTGGTTGTTGAACAACTCGGCGACTTTCTCCGGAGACACTATTTAAAGGTTAGTTTCTGGTATTAGTATAACAAAACTGCGACTCACCTTTTTCACTAACGGAGTAAAAGGGGCGCCAGGTGGGAAGCGTTAGGTCGGACGGTGATACCGCAGCAGGAACCACCCCGTACATTGCATGATGGGTATCCCGCGAGAGCACTGGGAAATACTCCTGATGCTTGTCGAGGTCCATAAAACGGACTTGCCCGCTGTTGACGGTCGATGCCGCGGATGGACATTTGCACCCAGGATCTAAAAGATCTGAGCGTTAGCTAATTCAAGAATGAGAGGAAAGTCAGTGACTTACTCCTCTGCGGAAGGTGGAGTAATTCGTCTTCCCACTTGATGTTAGAAGCGCATTTAGTGGAATGCAATGTAGCCTTGATCGGCATGCCTCCTTTGTTGCAAGGTTCCACTGAGACCCAGGACATGACGAGTCCATTTCGATATCTGTCCGCAGCCAATTTTATAGCGCGCGGCATCTGTTGCATCTTTGTCCTAGCCATGCTCTTGAGGAAAGCTTCCTTTTCCGCGGTGATGTTGGACTCCGGTTGCAGTTTTAGAGCATTGACCATGTTGTCGTAGATCCATAGGATTACATGGTCGCAAGAGAAGACGTAGTCAGAGTCGGTCTCCTTCTTGTTCTGATCCTCGCAGAATGTCAGTTCATGAGAGCCTTCTTGGGTCAACCACGTGTCATCCAGCTTCCATTCGTTGTCGTGGAAGTTTACGAGCACCCCCAGTCCTTGGCCGTCGACTGGTATTATCCTCGAGTTCGCAGTAATGGGGTCGAGCGCCAGCAGGGCTTTGAGGCCCTTGAGAACATGCTTGGCAAAGGGAGTGTCTTTGGGAGTCGTAGGCTTGGCCTGGCGGAATAATCGCAACTGCTCCTCAAGGGGAGTTAAGCAGAGAAGATCATCGCGAAAGACTTTCCACAATTTACTCTCAAGTGGGACCGGCTCGCGCTTAAGTCGCTGTTCGATGGTACTAGCGTCCTGCGAGGCCGTCAGTCCACATCCATAGAGATAGAGGCACCCGAGAGATTACGCACCCGTGGGTCTCCGCCAGCTTCGTAGAAGAATACCGGCCGGCCATTCTTCTTCTCTTTCAACATCTCCTCCCATACCAAATGTGTGACCTCCTCGTCAATGTGCTTTTCGATGTTGAAAACATCGGCGGCATTATGAAAGTGCTCCCGAAGCAATACCGTGTACTTCGCTAGGCATTGGCGAGGATCCTCAATCTTCGTTTCCTCCGTAAGAACACTATCCCAGATTTCTGATATTTCCCCTGCCTCTTCGTCTGCGTCAGCAGTGGTGTCGCGATCCCGACCGGTTGCCGCATAGAGTAAGTTGTACCCGAACTTGAACTTCTTGCCAGATTTACTCCCGTTAGGAAGCTGCAGGCCGTGAATGTAGATCTTGTTCTCGAACTTTGGATCGAGAATGAGATCTCCATATTTGGTGCGCACAACGTCAGTCGGGCCGTTGATGTCAATAGTCATCGACAACCACTTCTCGAATTCCTCCAGTGGAACTTTAGAGGTCGTGATGACTTCGCCTTTCAAGGACCTACACCTCCGAGGTTCGCCAATGAAGACAGAGACGTCCTCCCAATCCCTGCCCTGAGCTTGTCGTGGCTTGCCCTGTTCATCTTGCTCCGCTGCTAGCTCTTTCTGCTCCGTGAGATGAGCTCGGGGTATCCGCTGGATCTTACATATGAGTTTCTTGTCGGAGTTCCAGCCGAAGAACCATTTGCATCCGCTGCTGTGAATTGTGAAGCTGTAATTATGCGGATGGCGACGATTCACAAGGGCCGAGAGTTTCAGCCCTTCGCCATACTGACCCATCTGCTGTATATCATCAGCCTTGGTCGTACCACCGATTCCAAGGTGGCGACGTTGGAGCGAGGCTTTGAAATTGGTTATTTCCAAGGACCCGAGCTTCATAGCGTCGTAAGAGAAGCGCATGTAGCCGAGAAGCCGTTTCATCTTCTTGCGTGGGTGATAGACCGCGTAGAACTTCTCGTTCGGGCTCTCGGTACACTCCACTTTGAAGTCTCGCTCAGCTATGTTGAATGATCGCATGATAGCATCTTTCCTGCAAGGCTATTTAGCCGGTTTCTGCATCATATGTAATTGAGTATATACCAGTTCTGGAAGTTCTCGCGAAACCCTTCTCTCGGACCCCAGCCCGGTTGATATGTAGTATCGATGTTGAGAATCTCGGTCGTGCTCTGCCCGATGTCTTCAAGGTCATTGCCGAGATCTCGACGCTTGCGACCATTGTCGGCGTAATCGAAGTCGTCAGTCTCAACCGCCATCTTGGCCGCGCACAGTGGATGCGGTAGAGGTTGGTGCAGGCTGTGGAGGAGGGAAGCAATTGCGTTGGTGCTTGAGGGCGAGTGTCAGAAGTCCAGTAGCGTACACGCAAGCCCAACCAAGGTAAGAGAAATTCGTGCTCGCAAGCGCGAAGTCGTGGTATGTGATAGCAAGGTGGTGAGAGAGACTCTCATCCCGAGATAGTAAAGCTTATGAAGGTTCGATTGGATGACCACCACCCGGTGGAGGCCCCCAAGGGTACTAGAGAACAGGAGTGAGGATGGTAGTAAGCTTTACGGTTGGTGTGGAGCTGGTTAGAGGAAGGGAAGTAAAAGCAGTTAAGATGCCTCGTCATCCGTCAAAGCCCTCTTTAAGCTGCTAGGCTATGAAGCTTGCTTCACCTTAACTATCTCACCTTGGTTGGAGAGGGCTGCAGATAGCGGTCAGAAACTTAGTCCCGGCAGTCACCTCGTAATGAGCTCGATATTTCTTTCACCCCGGATGTCGAGCACCATGAAGGTGCCTCATCATGTAGGAGCTCACGACCAGATTGTGCTGAACACTAAACCCGTTGGCTTGGGAGAGTTGAGAAAGGTTTTCATCGTGATCTCCGAGTTACTCTGTGAGACGACCAAAAAGTGGAGTGATCCCCGAGTAGTCCCAGAAAATTAGTACCATTGCTATATACGGATAGACAGTATTTCGATGAGAGAGAAACATGCGTATAAAAAATTGCAGAAATGGATCCATTACGAGCGTTTAGGCATCCAAGGCCCGGTCCAGCGGAAGCCGCAGGTCTCTAGTACCGATAGCGAATGCCGTTAGGAGGCAAAGGCGTGAATGATGGTCTAGACCTTCTCGCTGGTGTGTTCCCCGACGGTTCGTCATGCATGCGCTTGCCATTCTCATTAATTAGGTTGGCCTTCGGTTTCGCAATGAAGACATCATCTTCGGGACGGTCGCGGGTCCGATAGAAGTTATGGCTTCCAGGGAAGCTGCCGCCCCAATCTAGCGATCGATGGTCGAGACTCTCACCGAGAACTAGGGTATATATCAGCACTACTTATACTACGAGAAATGGAGGACCTAGGTTACCGTATGACTCTACAGGCAAATGACTTTCATCATTGACAGGAGCTTCAGAAACGGCGTCTTGAGGGGCATCATCCTGACGGCTCGTGTAACCCTTCTCCGAAGAGCTTGTGCCCGGAGACGATAGCGACATGGCAGTGACCTCTTTGTCCGGTGATCCGAATTCGTTGTCGCCATCGTCGTTAGAAGTATCGTCTGTGGATTCCATGGCATCCTCACTGACATGGACAGGGCTCTGTATGGCGTCCACGTCTTCGAATTGTTAGCTGTGAGCTGTTGTGATACACAGAGACAAACATACTCAGACTCGTTGGCTCCTGCTTCACGAACAGGTCCTCTTTCAAGGGGCGGATCGCAGGAGGATGCAAACCGATGAAGGCGCCCACATCATCTCTAGATACGCTTGCAAAGTACTTTTTCTCGGTACCGAGGTTTGTGAAGGTAACCCCAGCACTAGCAACCTGAGATAATTGACTAGGGCAATCGCAATTTCGATCTGCAAGCATATTAGCATTCAACTACTAGAGTTCAAGGGGCAACAAGCGAACCTTCATCCTTTAGGTTGAACATGATGTTAAGCGGATGTTCCCAGGATGACTGAAGCTCACCCGTACAGTCGTTGGAATGCAGGATCACCCTGACAGGCTTATCCCTATTCTTGTGCGAATCCACTGACTCCCATGAGACAACTAGTTCACCGCGCCGCTCATTACGAGCGCATTTGACTCCTCTGGGCATTTGCGAGATTCGAATTCCAGTCATGCTCTTGAGCCACTTTTCATCCTTGGCCGGAAAGGGGATGTTGAATTCGTCTACTGCTCTGACTTGAGACAGCATGTAGTTCCACACCGTGAGCACTGCATGGTCGCAACAGAACGGGTCCTGCTGTTCCGGACAATGCTCTTCGCAAAACGTGTCTTGGTGGGCACCATTAAACGTCAGCCACCTGTCATGTATCTTCCACTTCTTGTCAAAGTACGCCACGTCGATTGCGAGTCCCTTACCGTCCACCATATCAAAACCCATTCGCTTGGTTGCGGGATGCGAGTTGATACAGCACTGCAACATCCATTCGAGGTTCAAGGCGAAAACGTTCTGCGGCACTTCTACGATAGCGGCGTGAGAAAATCGGTGATGCTGCTCCTCGAATGGCGTTCGGGGTAACTTAAACCGGCGTAAGATGTTCCAGAGCTCAGCTCCTATGGGGAACGGGTGTAGGTCCAGGTTCTGGCTGATGATCTGTGCGGCCTAGAGTGGTTGCATTAGATAGATTGCGATCGCGCTATTCTCAGAAACGGATCTACTTACATCCTTGCCTTCAGTTGCGGTGTAGTAGAATGCGGGACGCCCATCAGGCCCTTGATTGATGGTACACATATGCTTCCACACCTTGCCGGCAATATCGGGATCAAGGCATGGCCACTTGCTGGGCAGTGCAACGTCTCCAAGCTCATTCAGCGAGTTCAGCAGGAGGTTTGTGTAAATGGACAGCAGCTCATCGCCCTTTGCGCCGCCTATGCGGATTCCTGCTGCCCAAATAGCAAGACGCTGACGCGACTCCCCACCCGGCTGAGCAATGGCATCCCGATCCCTGTTTGTATGGCCTTTCATGAAGTTGTAACCATAATTATGTGGCTTTCCGCTCATGCTTCCACTCGGTAGAAGAAGGCCCTGAAGGTAATGCTTGTTCTTGTATGCGGGATCCAATATCAAGTCTCCAGCAGTAGTGTGGACAATATCAGTTGGAGGGTTAATATCGAGCGTTACATCAAGCCACTTCCGGAAATCGTCAACGTGGATCTTGTTCCCTCTTGTTACTTCCCCCATCGAGGTATAACTTGTGCGACGCGCCCCAATAAAAATGGAGACACGTTCCCGTGATTGCGACGTTGGAGCGCTCTGCTGACTTTCGGCCTTCTTGTTCTCCTGGGCGAGCTTCGCGTCGCTCATGCGCGTCAGGGTGCAGGCCAGATCGAGTTCCTGGTTGAAGATAAAGTTCCAACTGAAGCCGGAACTCTCGATGCGGAAGCTGTGATTATTAGGGAAGCGACGGAAAATGAGAGCGGCCACCTTCAAGCCCTCGCCGTACTTCCCACTCTGGTTCTTATCGTGTGCCTTTGTGCTAGCTCCAATCTTCAAGTGTCGATACTTCAGAGAAGCGTTGAAGTTTCTTACCTCCAATTCACCATCTCCATTCTTGTTGTACTTGAACCGTATGTATCCGCAAAGCTCCTTGCTTACGGGATGAAACTGTTGGATGAGAATCACACCGCTGCTCTCTGAACTTATGGGCGCAAAGTCTCGAAGGGAGATGTGGAAGCCTCGTCGAATTTCGTCTCTCCTGTCAGCGGTTAGCACTGCGGGTATCCATTGCGTCTTCCAGTGAGCACGACCAATTCTGATATATTTCGCGAAAGGCCTCCGCGCAGGTCCAGTGCGCGAGACAATCAGTTACGACGTTCAGGTCCACAGTCTTTCGGACTCGAATGTCTTCGAGCCCACTGACGATAGTCGGGGGTTTGCCGTCATCCTCGAAATCGACGCGCTCTGTTTCGCCGTTCATTTTCTGCTCTTGAGCCTCTGTTGTATTCATGGCCGAGCGGACGCTGGCCGTCACTCCCGAACTGGAGGCTATGAGTGAAGGTGCCTCTAGGCTAGACGAAGTGGGAAACGTACCGATTTCAAGGTAGGGTTTAAATGCCACTCGGTAACTGCTTTCAAAGCTCAACTCAACGGGGTATTAGGCCGACGGCTGCGAACAGGGTGACAGTACTTTGTCTGCTGATCTTTCTGTTGGTCGCTGGCGCAGAGAGGGGGAAGTGGTCGAGTGTTAAGCCTTGAGTTGACTAGAAGATGTGCCTGTTTTATCCTAAGGGATGAGATGTCTCAGGACTGGCGCTGCGGCGCGATCGATGTGGCACAGCAGCGCAGCGCTTTGCCTGTCGGGCGCCGAATATATGAGCTATAGCAAGTGTGCCGATGAAAGAAGAGAGTGTAAACTCGATGACTGCAAAGCGAAGTCGTGAGTAGGCGACGAAAAGGCGAGAAGGCGAAAAGGAGAGTTCTCATCGCGTTTCATAAGCCGAATGCGCCAGCAAACGCGTTCTCACGTGCTCGTCCCTGGTCACACCCGACCTTACCAATTCGAGTCGAAAACAAACCTTATATTATATGGCCGTCCAAAAAAGGCTTAATGCACACCCGTTGAAGGATGCTAAAAGTAGACGGCTTCGAGCGAATATACTGTAGGAATAGGCATTCGGCTCTTTTGTAGAAACTTCAACATCTGCCTTTTGATATGTATGAAATCGGAATAGAGAACGGCAAGGGTTTGATTACTAACGCTAATGGCGCAGTCTCAACCTTGATTGGTGGATGGCAGCTGAGCCCGCTCGTAACGACCAGCTCTTGAAGTCGGCTAGGAAACGAACGGCATCAGACGGGCGTCTATCTCCTCGTTGTCTTCCTGCCTGTCTCGTGCGAGAACGCGGCGTGGGATGCGGGCCGACGAACTAGACACGAAGACTTACCTAAAGAGGAAGGGAAAGCGAGCCTGCTAGCTTATGCCCCTCCAGAGCTTCAACCTAGTAGTCATCAGGACCTTGGTTGCCACCTAAAAGCTGTCCCGCTGAGTGCGCTGAGGTATGTCCCGCTCCTAGACTTCCTTTCTCCTCATCAACCCATTGCTAAACTCTAATGCCTAACCCAGACCCAGCCGGAGATTTCGCACGATTTCCTACTGGTTACATCCTGGATCGCAGCCACCTAGCAGCATGTCGCCTGAACCTCCAACACTTCCTCTGGGGAGAGACATTCCGGTTCACAATACACCCTTCGATCACACTCCCAGCAAAGCCAGCTATCGCTGACGTGGCCTGCGGGACCGGACTCTGGCTCATAGACGCTGCGGCGCAGCATCCGGAAGCCCGGCTCCACGGCTTCGACATCGACCTATCGCAAGCGCCGCACCCATCATGGCTGCCTCCAAACGTGAAGCTGAGCGAGTGGAACATCTTCGACGACATTCCGGATGAATGGATCGGGAAATTCGATCTCGTCCACGTCCGCCTTCTCCTTCTTGTCTTCTCCGGCATCGACCCGAAACCCTTTATCGAAAAGCTGTATCGACTTTTACGTCCGGGCGGATACCTCCAGTGGGACGAGCTCGACTGCGTCAACATGCACGTCCGTAAAATCGACCGTAACATCGCCGCTCCTGCGCTCGAAGGACTCCGGACCATGTGCTATGCAGAGGGGCGTCATGATTGGGTACTTCAGCTTCGGGACATGCTTTCATCGGCCGGGTTCGAAGCAGCAGCGCTCGAAAAGTACGGCGACAATCCGACTCTGGCGCGCGCATATAACGACCTGCATCTTCACACGATGGAGGAAATTGCGACGCGATTACTGCAGATGAGGAAAGAGGATGAGGCGGCGCATGTGTTTGGTTTGATTAGGGAGGGCTATGGTGAGGCTGTAAATGGGGCGGCGTTGTGCCTCCCTCGAATCGTCTGTGTGGCACGGAAACCGAGTTGAAGAGCGAGAGGTGTGGCGTAATACGAAGGTTTTCTATCAGCGTGTTGTGGAACTTGACTTGCTCTTCCGAAATGCGCCGCCATCCGGTGCGATGGTCGTCTGGGAGTGTGTTATAGTTCGACTCGAATGCTACCCAGCGATCCACGCTGTCGTCTATTACTTGCATAGTGCTGACATGTGCTATCCTCTTCAATCTGCGGGAATGGATTATGGCAGCCCGAGGCGCACTTATAGTAGTTACCCAGATAGTGGGAATGTGCTAGTATACATTACAGAGAGATACTTTGTACCAGTATGCTGTACATGTCCTGTTCATCCTTCGACGCAAAGCGCGTCGCATATCCTCCCATTTGGAGGGACCACCGATCTATATCAACCAATTCAAAGCTTATCGCTCGAAGCCTTGCCCGAACATAAAAGAGAACCCAAAACGCCGAATGTTTGACCGCGAACTAGGATCCAGCCGTCGTAGAAAGCCCACGAACATTAAAATGGTATCGTAAACATCATAACAATACAAGAATCATAAACATCTCGAGCTCCGTTCTCTATAGTGGACCTCATATAGCGAAGAGTAGTGGAGTGAGGAACACGACCCACCACACTCTTTCTTTTCCCCTTCCGGGACTTAGAGTGCTTGTAGCTCCACCTACGCTTGGTGCAGGTGGGATCTCGGTGCCTTGTGCGCCTGCAGTTGAGCTTGATGTGGCAGTGGTGGCGAGCGTGGTCTGGGCTGATGTTCCGACGACTGTGATGCTTGTGGGCTCGGAAGTAGTCGGTGAAAGAGATGGAGTCGAGCTCCCAGTTGTGGTGGGCGCGAGATTAGTCTCTGAAGCAATGCTTGATGCTTCGGAGACGACGGAAGAGGACTCAGACGCTATGGTCGAGAGGATGCTGGAGACTTCAGAGGGCGATGGCACGGTTTCTGTCGCGACTGTCGTTGGTGGCGATGGCGAAGGGACGGAGGATGGGTATGGAACCTCGGACGTCGGAACTAGGGAGGGAGAAACACCAGATGATGCTCGAGGTGTCGATGAAGCTGGCGGTGCGGAGGAGGCTTCGGAGGGTACCCGTGAAGGAGCGCTAGTCCCTGATTCCGATGGTGGTGGATAGGAAATTGAGCTTGGTGTGCCCGGTGGAGGAATTACGGTGGTCTCTGATGGCGGTGGAGCTCCAGTTGAGAGGCCACTCGTAGGTCTAGGTGGAGGGACTATCACAGTCTCCGATGGTGAAGGTGGGGTATATGAGATAGGCGTCGAAATGCCGGGTGGAGGGACGGCCGAAGTGCCCGAAAGCGTTGGGATCGCAGAGGTGACCTCGTTCGAGGAAGGAACAGGCGGGAAATAAGATGAGATTGTTGTGCCAGGGACTGGAGGCGTGGGTATCGGAACTGTATGTGTTGAGCTTGGAGGTGGCGGCACTACCTCCGTTCCAGATCCACTAGGGACAGGATACGACGATGGTGGCACCGAGCTAGCTGGTGGTGGGTTGACTATCGTTTCAGAGGGCGATGGAGCGGGATAAGAGACGGGTATTGATGTAGGGGTAGGAGAACCGTACGTCTTCGTAGCGGAGGTTGGAGCTGAGGATGGCACGATTGCGGGCGCTGTGCCGCTTGTTTGGGAATGTGGGGGCGGAGGGTACACGATAGTCTCCGGGGGCGGTGGAGGATAGGATTTTGGCCCCGTGGTAGGGACTGAAGGCGCACATGTCTCCGTCGGGGTGCCAGGAGGTGGATATACCACCGTTGGGGAAGGCGGCACAGGCGATTGATAGCTCGTTGACGAGGTTGGAGGTAGCAAGGGGCGAGTGGTCTCCGTTTCACAAGGTTCTGAAGTCGACAGTATTGATGAAAGGCTATGCATCGAAAGGGATGATATAGAACTGGGACGCGGCCAGTACGGAGGCGACCTTGACGTGACTGTTGGATTGGAAGTTAGCATCAGAACGCCAGAAGAAGATTGGGATAACTCACTGTTCCACCCGCTAGGCATCACCGGTCCATGACCATATCCATGATCTAACGCACCCGTTGATACCGCGCTGAACATCCACAATGCTAATGTTCTCCGCATGATGACTTGCTACTCTTCTCGAAATGAATGAACGACACTGCTCTCCTATTGGTGGACACCAACTTGACCCACCAAGCGGCCAGGAACTCACAGATTAGGAACTAAAAGCGAAGATAGGTTAAGGAATGAAAGCATTCCAGTCTCGGTTGAGATGTTTAAATTCAATCAGGGGATTGTGTTGATTGCTGATGAAAATGGGAGGCTGGCGATCCCAACCTCCCCGCCGCAATCTTGCTTGTCGTACAGAAACGTTGACGCAGTGCGCGTCGATGCATGGCAGCTGCATGGCACTGTGGTACATATTTCGAAACTCGTTTCTTTGATAGGGTTTGATGCATGGGCTTGTGCAGAGGTCGAGCTGTCGTCTACGAAGGTCCGCAGGTGGCAAGCGCTAGCCAGAGCTCGGACCACCCGTCAACACTCAACACCACGACGCATCGTGACACCACGTTTCGTACCTGCATTTTCACATCTCTCCTTGCATCTCATATGCGCCGTGGTATGGATTAACGGGCACGCTAACTCTGCGCGTCGGCGTCCTGCATCTGCGGTCAGCGTCACCGGTTACGCATCCGAGCAAATCCGAATCCCGTCTCGCTCGAAGGCCACCACGGTGGCTTGATGATACTCCACAACTCCGGAAAATATTCTGCCTATTTGGAGATGCCCTCAATGTCTTCCGTGTTGATTTTTCCTTCAGCTCGTCTCTATCACATGTCAGGACGCGAGTGGCAGACGCGACAGTCACCGGGCAACTGACGGTGCATCGAGCGACGAATCTTTCCTGTAAACCTATCTGCAAAAGGATTAAGAGCAAGACGTTTCATTTCATCAAGCTTTTGGAAGTCCGGGGTTGCATCCGTGCAACGACAATCTTGTGGAACGTAATCCCGGCGACAGTCCACTGCAAACCCCGGACTTTCCGCTCCGCCGTTACTCGGTTCCAGCTCACTTGTGGCAGTTGTAAGGAATGCGGCCACAGAAGAGGTTCCCGGCATCCGCCGGTTCTGATGAGGCTACAGGCTCGAAGCTCACCATTCTATACGGCATTAACTAAGCTTGAGCAGACAAAGGACTCACACAATATCATACAATAAGCTATCACAACATCCACAGTTAAGGAATGACGAGGAAGGGGTATATCCACCGCTCCCGAAATATCTCCGAACCGAACGCCTAGGAGAGCCATAGCATTGCTGCATCGAAATGTCTAGCAAGGAAACGCCGCTGAATGATTGGGCCACTCCGATCTATATCCCATTAGCCGTGCACCAGTAGTCGTACATCGTATTTCAAAGCTTCGATCACACCACGTAGCCCTCATCCAGGTTCTTCATCTCGACGTCCTGTTTCTTTCGCGACTCCTTCGGCATCATGAAGCAGCTGACCACTAAAGCCAAGCCTGCCAGCACAGCCATCAAGATCCAGATGGTCTTCAGCGAGTCCACATACGCATCCGCAATCTGCGTCTTCGGGGAACCCTCTCCACCGGTCGTTGCTCGGACCCTTGTCACCAGCGCAACGGCATCGGTCGTGTACTCCTTCGCGAACCTTTCGAATAGCGGGTTGCTCCTTAGATGCTTGAAGAACTCGTTTTCGAAGACTGAAGTCGCGATAGCGACACCGAAACTCTTCCCCAGAAGCTGGAAGAAGGTATAGTTCGTCACCGCTCTCCTCGACTTCCCGTTGTCCTCCTCTTCTTGCTCGGCGATGAGCTCGGAAGCTGTGTGCAGACTCGGATATAGGATGCCCACACCGGACCCCAAGACGATCGCTATGCTGACCCAGGTCCCCGTCGGCGACGTCCGTGCGTAGATGGTGGTCAACGCAACACCGAGCAGGACGAGGACCCAGCCTAGCCATATGGAGGGAAGCCAGGTATTCCACCGACTGACGACAACAAAGGTAATGAGAATGAAGATAACGAGCGGAAGAGTCCAAGGGAACCAGCGCACCCCTGCGGGTAAGTGGCTGAGCTCAGGCTTGGCGACGCTGAAGTAGAACGGCTGTGGTGTTGATGTCAGCTCAGCCTCCTCATTGGCGCAATCTACTATGCATTGTCTCAGCCTTCGGGAAGTATTGTGCTTACCATGAAATATAGGAATGCGCAAATGATGGTTCCCTGGATCATCGTGCCGAAGTACGTTGCAAGGCTGGTGCGGTCCATGAAGCCATCCAAGCTGATTATCGACGGAAACGGCGAGAACCAGGACCAGACGCAAAACACAACGATACCGATAAGTCCGAACTGAAGTGGCAAGAGGGTGTTGGGGTTCGACCAGGTGTGTAGCGTACCTCCCTGTTCCGATTACCGTTAGCGCAAATCCTCCGGGAACCAACATCTTATGTATCAAATTCTCCGTCGCCATGCGAGATCCGCACACTATGCCCGATTCCGCAGCTGCATCCGGACAAAGAAGAAGAATGCGACAACTACTCACCCAACTTATGCCCAAAAGCATAGAGACAAGCGAGCCAGACAGGAGAAGAAATCCAACCCAGTCGATGGCCCGCAGTTTTACGAATATGGAGCCCGGAGTTGCGGCTTTTAGTTGCGCGAAGAAGGGTAGAATGAGGAAGGCAATGATGCAGAATGGTAGATTGAGCCAGAAGATCCAGCGCCATTGATTGCGTTCTGCAAGCGCTTCCCCTAGCGCGGGACCCGTGACTGCGCCAATGGCCCACCTGTTTCGCGGTCAGACGACATCCACAGATCCAAAAGGGCTTCTTACATTGTTCCAAGGATGGTGGTCCATCTGCGCTTGTCTAGTGAGGAGACAAGATCCGAGACGATGAGATCCGAGAGTACGAAGATACCACCGGCCCCGATTCCTTGCACGGAGCGGCCAAGATGCAGTGCGTTGAAGTTTCCACCAACCGCTGCGATGAAAGAACCGATCGTGAAAAAGGCAAGTCCGGTGAGCAGCATAGCTTTGCGACCGAAAATATCGGAGAAAGCCGAGAAGAGCGGCAGGAACGCGGTAGCTGCTGCGAAGAACGAAATGCCCAGCCAGAAAGACTGGATCGCCGAACCATGAAGAGCTGCTGCGATAGTCTGCACTCTGTCAGTACTGCTTCACTAAAGCGCCGAAGCCCAGACTTACCGGCAGCGCAATCGAAATCGCCGTTGCATCCCATGCCATCACTAGATTAACCAAACACATACAAACCCCCGTAGCGTAAAACCTCCAATCCACCACCTCGACCACCTCTTTCAAATGCTCCACCTCCTTTAGCAAATCCACACTTGGCCTCAAACTCGGCACGGAACTCGCCGCCCTGCTCCTTGTCCTGCTCCGACTCCTACTCGTTCCTCCATCACTCCCGCTCCCGCTATCTTCTCTAGCATGCTGGGTGCTCTTGGTGCTTTTCGTTGTGTCGCCGCAACCGAGCTTGGAGCTCGCTTTACTACCGGTGCTGCTGCTGTCGCGTGCTTTGCGCGAGTCGGAATCTAATGCGTCGAAGGTGAAGCGGTTGGGGACGGGCGTTTTGCGTGGTTCTTCGAGGAAGTGCGAGAAGCGGTCTGGGGCATCTTTTGAGGGAACGGCGAATTGGAGGTGCGCTCTTTGACGCTCGGAGAGGTTGGTTATGAATTGGGCGGCGCCGGTGGGTTCGGGTGTTGAGGGCGCATTGTGGTGTTGATGGGAATGGGAAGGGGGAGGAGTGTCTAAAGCTGAGTGGGTGGTAGAACTCATCTTCAGACGTCTATTAGGAAGACATGATATGAAGTGATCAGAAGAGACGCAATAGGTCGGGGCTGAGAAAGCGGGTATGTATGAAAGGTACTGCGTGCACCGGGTACCAAGCGAACCAGGCGCGCAATGCACACATATACTCTCCCGCAAAGCACCCCGCCTAGCCCAGGCAAGCCGCGCCTCATGCCCGCTCACCTTATTGTGACTCTCGGACTATCCATGCCACCATTGGCGCCATGTACAGACGCTACGGCGTAGACATGTACCTACCCCTGTCGCACCACATGGGGCTGAGATCCCACGCTAGACCCTGCGCCAGCCTTACACCAGTCCGTATCCCAGGCTCCGAGATTCCGTTTTAGAATAGAAACGGTCTCACGCGGTCGGATGATTGGTTGAGTTGCGCTGATAGATGGATGAATGGAGGGAGGGGTGGGCGGAGGACGGAGGAGGTACCACTTGTCCAACATCCGCCGGCTTTTGCGCTCCGCGTTGTTGGAATATAGACTTGCTGCGTGGAGTTAGCGATGGCATAGTACCCGATTGCATGTGAGTGCAGAAGAAGACACCGTTGTCCATGGCCTCGCTCGTTCGCATCGTCGCATTCGCTCGTATGCACGCGTCCGTATCTTCAGCTCCCCATATCCCCTGTGTCCCACATTCGGGCCTCTCCTCTTCGCAGCCATGTCAAGGCTAGATCGGCCGCCGCAGGCCAATCGCTCGCACAAGCGACGAGTGCCGACATCTATTCGGTAACCACGCATCAGCCCTGCACCCTTGATCCCCGAGCCCGTTTCCCCATCCAGCGCACCCACTGCAAGCTATCACCTCAGTCCTCTTCCACTCCGTTATTCTCCTGTCTCTCAATCATCAATCCGCTTCACGCCAGCATCGTCGCGTGATGCTCTAATGCGCATCGCGCGAGAAAGAAATTGGATAGTCCAGAAGCTGAGGCAGTTCGGCGCTTAACGAGAATAGTTTGCGCTAAGCCGCTTCTAGCGCAGCGAACAAGGACCGGCCCGATGCCGATCGGACGTACTGTAACTGTGAGGCTCAGCACCGCAGTACCTTCTTGGGGCGACTGTAGCTGTTTATACCCATTCATAGGCATAGGCATATTCCGTTTGCCCTCAGCCTCGCGCTTCCAACTGGCAGCTCTCCGCTCGCCTTCGTTCGCCGTACATTCGCATGAACAGCACGCTCTGGCCTGAGCTAAAAAGACCAGATTTGCGGCAACAATTCTCAGCACGATATGCATGTCTTGAAAAGTTGTGGGTCTAGAAGAACGCCTAAGGTGTTGGTAAAGAGGGGAGGGGGGATAGCATGATAAGGTCTTATCTCTGTGCACCGAATAAATTGGATTATGGTAAGCTGGAGAGCTTCTAGTCACGCAACTTATGCGCCAGTAGCGTGGAATGCGAGATGAGTGCAAGACTTGCATATATTAAATCTACGATGGTTCCTCTCGTGTTCGTGCTGTAGGCGCCGATGCCATGAGATCGGAACAGGGGCAACAGGGACCATGTATTCATAGCAATATTGGATGTCTACGACGGCAAGCGCGTACGCGAGGCATACTGATCAATTGCGCTGACCGATAATCGTTGTCGCTAAGTGCGCCTCGAAGGAATAGCATGTCTATCGTCAAGCGCTTGACGAGGCACGGAACAAGTGTGTGAAGTCGATGCTTACTGAAGTGGATGCGGAGGTGGTGGGACCCTGCCGACATTTTGCAGAGGTACGCCGCATCCTCCAGCTCCCTAACACTGAGGCCACGCGACACCCCCCTCAGAATGGCCAAGTGGCATCGGTAGCTGCCGTTGTGGCGATTTGACAAATATGGCGGAAGATAACGACGAGGCAACGTGTAGAAAGCCCCTAGGCTGTGGGAAATAGCCCCGAGCCGAGAACATGAGCTTTACAAACGTCTCTTGCAGTTTTCTCCGCATCAGCTAGGGAGGCAGCACCGGTGAGCTCAGGTACATCCATGCTTGTACATAGATCTCGACGGTCAGGAGAAATCAGGGGTTTAGTGTTACCATCAGCCATGACTATCCTTACTAGCGTCAAGCCGTATGAAGGGTAGAGAAAGCAACCCTGTCCGTATCGTTGTATTACACCGTTGAGAGGTCAAAGTTCGAATCTAGTCGGCAACAGAGATCAGCAGAGTCCAAGAAGACAGAAGCAATAAAAGTTGCGTGAGAATACATGCAGGATCAGACAGCAGTTGGATATTTTGGTCCACATAGAGGTTCAGAACAGGTCTGTGAATAAGTGTTTTTCATCATTGCATGCGAGGATTGAAAGAAATGGGGCAACTTACTAGTGATCGCTGACATGAGCATGTACCTGCCTCAAGCTGTTGATCACTCACAACGCGACCCTTATTCGACCTTCCGCCGTTTAAAGAAGCTGTCGATGTTCTTCTGCGAAGCGTCATGGCGAGAGCTTCCAACACCACCGCCAGTGCGCTTGAGACCCCTGAGATGATCTCTTCCATTGATAGTCTGAATTACGATCATCCAGCCATGAGCGAGCTTGGTTGGAAGCAGCGGAGTAGCCACAGCTGCGGGGCCAGTGCTTGTAACCAGAGGTTTTTGTGCGACGAGAGCGGTATCACTCATGTCACTCTGCGTGGTCTGCGCAGGTCTGGCCTGGGTCTCAGTAGTTGCGACAGGCTTCGACGGGAGTAGCTTGAGCGCCAAAGGCGGCAACGCATCGGTTGCAAGGATCGGTTCCTGAACGAGCGGCATACTCATATTTAATTCCAAGTAGCCGGTATTCGACCAACCTCCCAGGTGCTCGAGGGAAACACGGGTGGTGGCAGCAAGTTCCGGGGACAATGCCACGCTCCTCGGTGGCAATCGCAGCAGAAGGCGCTTCCAGAGGACAGACAGGATGATCCCATGCGAGACCACGGCAACCGTATGGTTCGCCGGCTCTGTCGAATTATGCAACAGCGGCAACAGATGTGCATCAAGAAAGCTGTCGACACGTTGTGCCATTGACTCCTTCGACTCAATGTCCACAAATCCTTCCGTGTCCTTATGCGCCTGACGGTGTTGCTCTTTTCCGCTCAGCCCCGAATCTGCCGGCCTTGCGTGCCACTTCTTCCCCTCAAAGAAGCCAAAGTCCTGCTCCATAAGCACGGGGAGCTGTGCGACGTCTGGCACCGTTTGTGCAGAATCATCGTCGGTCGAAACGGCGGCCTGAGCTTGCCGAATCAAGGCAGCCGTTTTCGCAGCCCGCTGAAGGTGGGAAGAGAAGATGTGCGTGAAGGAGAGCCCCAAGGATTTGAAATGCTGGCCTAGACGAGTGGCTTGCTGGTAGCCATGGTTGGTGAGCTCTGAGTCCTTGCTCCCGGCGCTGCGGAGGTCAGCTTCGAGATCCTAGCACAGCGGGGAGCCACTTACTAGACTTGAGCGACATTATCCACCGTCTCGCCATGGCGGATCAAGAACAGCTTGATCTGTTTCGCCATTGTGCCCACCAAGGGGCACGGAGGGTATGGATGGCAGGCATGAGTGGTGATTGAGAGGAAAAGAAAGCGCGAATGTGCAGTGGTTGGAATATTTTTCGCTGCTGGTCCGTGCAGGTCGCTAGCTGACTAAGACAGCCAGCAAGCATGGCAGCTCTCACGGTGTGGAATTCTCCGGATCTAAGGACTCGCCGTACAAGTAAGTAAGATTAGCTTGTCTATTGTACGCACTCGCGAAGGCCTCTAGGGTAGCTGTTACGCACGTCGTTCTGTCCGGAGAATTCCACACCGTGAGAGGCAAGTCAGTCCACCTCCTGGAGTTTCCACAAAATCCCGAGGTCATCACGGTCCCATTTTCCATGAACTATCGATACTGCACTCATTACCAGCGAGAACTTTGTGAACTTGGAACCTGTTAGCCATGGTCGTTATCCTCGATCGCCATCCCAGGCCGAGGGCTTGAAGGAACCGGGGCGAGTACCAGACCAACTGCTCAGCTCGACCTCATAGCCTTGAAACTCGCAGGTCCAACAAAGATTCTCTTTGCATGGTACAATGGGGTTCCATGAGTTCACTACGCGCTCTATTCATAGGCCACGACAGGACACGGTACAGCTTAGGAATACGTACGAAACCCAAACTTTTGGTGGTAGGGTATCTCCAATGAGTTTCCAATCAGGACCATCTTCTCTGGATGCATGTTTGGAATCTTTAGCTCACCTTCCCCTGTGCCGAGTCCAGCGAGCCTTTTGCCGTAATGTGGGACTCATTCCGTTCCTCCCTCTCTCGACCATCGGCAGGTACACCTTGGCTCACTTCTCTTCCTCTCTAATCCACCTTACCGATATATTTACCAGAGCTCCATCAGCCCTCCTCGTTCAGCCCCCTCTCTCTATACAATACTACCTAGGTACCACATTCCGACTTCGAGCCTTCTTCTTTTCGCTATCTATCTAATACCGTAAAAAAGCCCTATCATTATCTTACGACTCTGCAAAAGCGCCCTTTAACGAACACATTAATCACGGTATAGCCCATCTCCTTCATTCGAGCATTCCTCGTTGTCTGAACCGTGTCGGGTGCATTTCCGTTTGCCCCACCCCGCAAAGTTCTCAACGCACTCACCGCTGCATCGCCCGCCACTCTCGGAGCTATGACAATCTATGCTTCAGCTGGCTCCCGCCTCTCTCACTAGCTCATCTTATCATCTTTCTCTTCGAACGTACACACGGGACTCGCTCGGTATCTCTTACCTTTTTACGAAGCCTCAAATGACCCGCGACTGAGCTCCGCTGACTTCAATCTCGCGCTTCATTCCCACACATCCAAGTCGAGCCTTACCACCGATTTGCAAACTTCACTCGATTCCTTCTCTTTTCGCGACCGAATGTCCCACACATTCAAGAACATCTAGCCACATCCAGAATACCAAAATGGCCGACGATCTCCAGCCCTCAACAGCATTCCACAACTTCAACCTACCCCACGGGAACGATGACACCGAGAAGGATGTAGCGGCCAGTACCTGCAATGACGACTCCATGGGAGGCATACTTCCAACTCAGCCTGGCAATGAGCGACTCATTGAGTACGAGAAAGGCTTCTCTGATGACGAGGGATGCGAGGACGCATTCGACCGCTCCTTCCCTGGCCCCAGGCCCGCAAAGGACAAGTCATCCAAGGGCAAGAAGTCTCCTAGGCGCTCCGATGACGAAAAAACCCCCGAGCAGAGCCCGAAGAGCAAGAAGCCTCGTGTGCTGTCACTGTTCGGAGGCCCGATCTCTCAGTCAGATGATGTTGGCGATGATGCCGACGATGAGGCGCCACCTAAGACTCTAGCGCAGGGCATGGATATGCGAATGTCCAGTCTTACGCTCGATCAACAACAAGAAGAAGACAACGGTGAAGGCCCTTCTAGACCGAGCTTCAACCTAGCTGCTACCCTTGGACTTTCAGACAACGATAGCCCGAGAGGATCACCCGCACCGTCGGCCGTCAGCATGGAGGACGAAGTTCCGGCTGAAGACCCCGTGGTCTCATATGGGCTGCGAAAGAACATCGACAGGCAGGTTGTGCCAGTTACGTGGGTTGACGTCGACCAGAGCGGCAACTATGACCCGGAAGAGGAGCGGCAGAAAGCCAAGGCGGCCAAGGCAAAGAAGAGGAAAGGCAAGCAGAAAGCAGTGCCGAATGAGCGGCACATTAAGTGCATTGTGCGGTTGCCATTCAAGGCAATCGGCACGGTCGAGAACATTACCAACCGCGAAGAGAACTGGCCAGACAACTGGTCCATGATCGATTCGGAGGACGAACGCGAGCTGCAAGAATTCAGGGCTTTCTACCGCCGCAGGACGCCTGGCGTAGAAGCTCAAGTCCCCATCGAAGATCCAAAAGGCGAGTATGATGATCTCACCGGACACCCTGTGGCTCGAGGCTGTCAGGGTTGCAGGCGGCTTGGCCAAGACTGCTCTATGGTCGAGAATGGCGGAATGCCGTGCTCGCAGTGCTTCGAAGACGGAATCGAGTGTCACCCAATCGCTGAACAGGAGCAGCGCGTCGACCTAAATAGCATCCTGTACGGACCAGACAGGACATGGGTTCCTTGCACCTACTGCCGACTTCACAAGAAGCGTTGCTCGCTCAAAACGAAGGAGGACCAGCCGCCGTGCAAATACTGCAAGAGGAACGGGATTGGCTGCACTTTCTACGACTTGCCGAACCTAGAGATGCCCAAGAAAGGTGGCAAGAAGAAGGCGGTGCAGGCTGGCATCGCCAGTTCGTCTGCTCCAAATATCGCGCCGGAGGTTTCCATGCCAGGCTCAGACATCTTCGACGCTGAGGATCTCGCGGACTTGGAACGTGAGGATGAGGAGGAGTTGGTCCGAGAAGAGACGCCAGAAATAGAGATGGAGGATGCCGAGGGTCGCCGCGGCATTTTGACAGAGATCCAGACCTCTTTCGCTCATCCCATCAAATTCAGCACCTTGGAGAGTTCTTCAATCTGCAGCTTCTGCGAGATGCCTTCGTTCGGATTTACGGGCCATTTCGAAAAGACGGTCCATGTCCTGAGATGGAACAATGGCCTTGGATACACGGAGCTCGCAGCCGGACACCGCGAAGATAACGACGCAACCATTATGTGCCAGGAGTGCGTCATGCAGAGGGTGCAGACGATATACTGCCCGGCCCATGGGATCCGGCGAATTGAGAACTTGAGTCTCGACTACGACGAAGCTGTCAATCAGCTGATCACCGCTGAGCCAGGCTCCATGATGATGCGACATGAGCTGCAGCGCTGGTGCTCGTTGTGCTTCTCGCTCGCCGTATTCAAGTGCGGCACCGTCCAGCCTTCAATCATGGACCAAGGCGATGATGACCAGGCTCTAATCGAGGGCTGCGGACTCCGCCTCTGCGAGCCTTGCGAGAGGAAGCTCCGTGAGGATTATAGCGGCGATCTCGATGAGATGGCAACGGTTTGTGACAACGAACCGAAAGCGAGAGTTGACAGCGAAGACGGTCAGGTAGTCATCCGTGCGGACGTTGGTTTCTTGAGGAAAGAGGGGCTGCTTATGGCGAATGTGGGGCACAACGCTGGCGATGAGACGGGAGCAGAGGCAGAGCTGGATATGGTACTTTGAGGTGTTTGGGTGAGTACTGGGAGTTGGGCTTTTTGGGTATACTGGATTTTCCTTCATGTGGCAGTCAGTCCACTGATTTTGGTCTGACGGAAGTATAGGCGGAATCGCCTTTCTCAACTCATCGGAAAATGCAGTGTATGGTTAGTGGACGGACTGAGTCAACGTCGCTCTACTCCTTCGCTGGTCGGTTCCTGATACGGGCGCGGTCTGCGAAAGCGTAAGCAGGAGGGATGCACTGCCGGGGTAGTTTCTGGCTAGGTAGACCAACCGAAAGGCTTTGCGATTCGTTTTGCGATTCTTGTCTTGCGTTGGAACTCGTGCTCTTATTAAACCTCTTCGCCGCGACGCTATTGGAGATCTTATTGACATGAATTAACTGTAGTCCGCGGTACTGTTGAACACGGCCAATTTGATGCACAGTCGTTAATGAGTCAGGCGTTCTTCCAAGGATTGTATTCATAGTAGAAAATAGGCGCCATGTTGTTCGGAACAATTGTGCTAGACCGCGTGGCGGTGGCAGAGGCAGTGCTTAGAAGACCATGTCGCGCTGTAGGCATTGTGTGAGTGTCCGCCAGGGCGGTGCATGCAATCTTTGGTGAAGGTCTGACAGTGGCGGGGGGAAGAGATGTTTAAGTGGGGGAAGGGCTGAGGAAAGAAGGCAGGTAGAGAGGTGGACAATCAATATCACGAGCAGGCAATCACGAAGGAAATAGAGTTATATGAAGAAGTTTTATTTGTATTGATATGTCCTAAGGACATAAAGACCACGGAATTATGTTGTGGTGGTTCGCTCTAGAGTCAAAAATTGACTCTGTTGAAGGATGGTTTTGTCTAGGAAAGTTAGCGAGTGAAGGGGAAAGGTGGAGGTGGAAAGGCTTACTGGTAGTTGGCTGATGACAGGATGTCATGCTCGAAGGAGCTGGCAGGCGGTGGCCTAAGATGTGGTGGTAGGCCACCGCCTGCAGAGCCGAGGACGACGGTTTGTTGGTGCCAGGCGGGGGTCCAAGATGTCTTGGTGGACCCCCGCCTGTTGGTGAAGGCG